TGATCGACCAACGATCTCGTTGATCCAACAGGTCGTGAGAGAGGAGCTGGCAAACGTTGGGCTGCAGCCTGTGTGTTCGTTGACGGAACCTCGGGTCAGTACCATAGCGCCTTCTCCTGCACCAGAAAGATTCCGCCGCTATCGTGATCCTGCTCAGTGGAGGACACAGGACGACAAGCCTATATGTTTTCATTGTCATGGTGTAGGACACATCTCCCGCTACTGTCGTTTCCGCACGTATCCACCTCGGTCGTTTCCTGGCTATCGACGTGACGACAACCACCGGCCCCTGCAGTACAGCGCTCGTGACGATGGACCGTACAATGGCACTCCTGCGACACCAGTCCGCCGGTCCAGCCGTTCGCCGTCCCCGCATGACCGTCGCTCCAGGTCACCTCAGCACCGCCGCTATTCGTCGCCCCACCCTAGTGGACGCCCTTCTTCGGAAAACTGAGCAATGCAGCTCCCGGAGGTGACGCTGCATTGGACTCCCGACCTGAAAACCCTCTGCTGACCTTGACTACGGACAAGAACCTGCTTGATGTAGAAGTGGATGGCCTTCCTGTTACTGCCCTTATTGACACCGGCGCACATATTTCAATTCTGAGCTCTGACCTCCGTGCACGATTAAACAAGGTCCTTACGCCGCCAGAGTCCCTATTTGTACGTGTCGCTAGTGGAGCGACCCCGGCTGTGCTCGGAATGTGCACCGCGCGTGTGAGATTCGCCGACCGCCAGACGTCCGTTCTATTCCATGTTCTCGCTCACTGTCCACATGACGTCATCCTTGGACTCGATTTTTTGTCCGAACCACTCCGCTGTAATTGACTGCTCAGCCGGCGTCGTGCAACTTGACTTGCCTGCGGCCACCGAAGAGTCGAAGATGGTACAGAACAAGCTTTCGTGCGCTGAGTTTGTTCGCCTCCCACCCAAGCCCTAACTTGTGTCACAGTTGAACCATATCCCAGTGTTCCGGATGGGGATTACGTGGTCTTTCCCTCTCCCGGTGTTTTATTGGCCCGCAACGTTTCCTCCCCGTACACCATATTAACTGTCACAGCGAACAAGACGTGCCTTCCTCTTCTGAACTTCGGACTCAGCCCTCAAATCCTACCACAAGGCATTGTTCTCGCCACTCTTTCACCGTCACACGAGTGCCAGATCTCATCAGTGTCACGTGAACTGGCCACAGTCGCCTCGCCGAACCCGCATAGCACCGACGCAGCCAAATCTACACGGCTCAACAATGTAACTAAGATGATTGCCTCAGACCTCTTGCCGTCTCAGGTCAAAGACCTCACTGATCTTCTCACGAGCTATTCGGACATATTTGACTTTGACGGTAGGCCCATAAGTCAAACATCGCAAGTCAAACATCGCATTAATACCGGTGATGCAGCTCCAATTCACAGGCGTCCCTATCGAGTGTCACCATCAGAACGCCAAGTTATCCAACAGGAGGTGAATAAGATGCTCACAAAAGGCATCATAGAGCCCTCATCGAGTCCGTGGGCGTCCCCTGTAGTCTTAGTTAAAAAGAAGGACAATACCTGGCGTTTCTGCGTGGACTATCGGCATTTAAACAAGGTCACCAAAAGGGATGTCTACCCGCTTCCTCGTATTGATGATGCCCTGGACTGCCTTCATGGCGCAACCTATTTTTCTTCCATAGACTTACGCTCCGGTTACTGGCAGATCGCCGTGGACGACCTCGACCGGGAGAAGACCGCCTTTGTAACGCCTGACGGTCTCTACCAATTCAAGGTAATGCCGTTTGGCTTGTGCAATGCGCCGGCAACGTTCGAGCGGATGATGGACACGCTTTTGCGCAGCTTTAAATGGTCTATCTGCCTGTGTTATCTGGACGACGTGATTGTGTTTGCCCCAACCTTTAAGTCTCACCTCGAGCGCCTTTCCTCAATTCTTTCAGTATTTCGAGAGGCTGGGCTCCAACTTAATTCCTCGAAATGCCATTTTGGGCATCGCCAAGTTACTATTCTAGGGCATCTCGTTGACTCCTCCGGCATCCGCCCCGATCCCGACAAAGTCCGAGCTGTCCTGGATTTTCCTGTACCGACTTGTGCCAAGGACGTTCGAAGTTTTGTGGGCCTATGCTCATATTTCCGACGATTTGTCAGAAACTTCGCAGAGGTCGCACGCCCCCTCACTGATCTTTTGAAGAAAGATGTACCATTTGAGTGGGGTCCTGATCAAGGCACGGCCTTTCCCAGCTCATAACACTTCTGACCACGCCACCGATTCTCGCCCACTTCGACCCGTCTGCTCCAACCGAGGTCCGCACTGATGCTAGTGGCTACGGTATTGGCGCGGTTTTAGCCCAGCGTCAATCCGGTCACGATCGAGTTCTTGCGTATGCCAGCCGGCTCCTTTCTCCTGCCGAACGCAATTACTCTATTACGGAACGCGAGTGCCTGGCGCTTGTATGGGCAGTTGGTAAATTCCGCCCCTATTTATATGGCCGGCCTTTCACAGTTACCACTGACCATCACGCTCTATGCTGGCTTTCAGCCCTCAAAGATCCAACGGGGCGCCTTGCTCGTTGGGCTCTGCGCCTCCAGGAATTCACATACACAGTGGTTTACAAGTCTGGCCGTTTACACCAAGACGCCGACTGCCTCTCTCGGTACCCCGTTGACGCTCCAGATCTAGTAACCGACGACGCGTCCATCTGTATTTCCTCGCTCTCTGCTTTCGGCAACATGGGATGTGAGCAACGGCGTGACGCGTCCCCTACGCGAGCTAATCGACCGCCTGAACACAGGCTGTACAGACAGTTCGCTTCGCATGTTCGTTGTCATAGACGGCATTTTATACCGCCGCAACATGCACCATGTGGGAAACGAACTACTACTCGTAATACCCACTCATTTGCACTCGACCGTACTTCAGCAACTACATGATGTACCAACGGCTGGCCACCTTGGTGTTGCCAGAACGTACGACCGTGTCCGCCGACGCTTTTTCTGGCCCGGCCTCTACCGTTCTGTACAACGTTATGTTAGGTCTTGTGAGTCGTGCCAACGCCGCAAAAGGCCAGCGGTACACCCCGCCGGGCTCCTTCAACCGATCGACGTACCTGCCGAGCCTTTCTATCGTGTCGGCCTCGACCTGCTGGGCCCTTTCCCTCTTTCTACCGACGGTAACAGGTGGGTCGCCGTCGCCATAGATTACTCGACCCGTTTCGCAATTACGAGACCTCTTCCAAGCAGCTGCGCTACAGATGTCGCCGACTTTTTGATTCAAGACGTCATCTTACATCATGGTGCTCCTCGTCAACTGGTCACCGATCGCGGTCGCTACTTTTTATCTAAGGTAATTGACGATCTACTTCGTTCTTGTGCAACCAAGCACAAGCTTACGACGGCCTACCATCCTCAAACAAACGGCCTCACAGAACGTCTGAATCGCACACTCACTGACATGCTCGCCATGTACGTGTCGACGGATCATCGTGACTGGGACATTGCGCTACCCTTTGTCACTTTCGCTTACAATAGCTCACGCCACGACACTGCTGGATATTCTCCCTTTTACCTTTTGTATGGAAGAGACCCGACATTGCCGTTCGACACGCTTGTACCCAACCCTACCGACCTGTCCACAGCATATGCTCGCCGCGCTATTAGCACCGCGGAGAAAGCCCGTCAGATTGCCCACCAGCGCCTTTCGGACTCGCAGCTCCGTCAGAAACGTAGCTATGACAGCCACCATCGGGACGTCCACTTTAGTCCAGGTGACCTCGTTCTTCTGTGGACTCCGTCGCGACATGTTGGTCTGGCTGAAAAGCTTCTACCCAAGTATTTCGGACCTTATCGTGTGCTACGGCAGGTAACTGATGTTACCTATGAAATAGCACCTCTAAACCCTTCGATACCTTCCACATCTTCCGACATCGTCCACGTCGCTCGCCTCAAGCCGTACATCTCGTCCAACACCTGCTAACAAGCGCCGGGTCGGCGCTTTTCGCCGCCGGAGGTCGATGTTGCGGGTTCGCGGCTATGCAGCTATGCGGGCGGTGCGAAGAAGAAGACGACGACGTTTTTGGGCTGTTCGAAATACACAACGGCTGCCATCTTGACTGCTGGAGTACTTTTCTACTCTAAAGTAGTAAATACATTCGCAACAATATATATATATATATATATATATATATATATATATAATATCTATTTATATATATATATATATGTGTGTATATATATATATATATATATGTGTGTATATATATATATATATATATATATATATATATATATATGCATGTGTTTATTCTATTCAAAAATACTTTGATTGGTATATTCTCCTAATTACGTGTCAGAATTGCATGCTTCAGTATATAGCTTTATTTCTTTTACGTACACCTTAGTGTTAATGGCTTGTCGCCATACTGCACTTTTTTTTATTGTTCTGAATTGTATTACAATTTTGTACCTGTTTTAAAATGTGTGTACAGAATATCTCCCCCTTACACTGATTCCCCACGTGGGCACTGTGAGTGTTCGAAATAATTAACTAAATATATAATTGAATGCAGTGCCTGAAAAATTAGCCCTCCCCACTGATTCTCAATGTCCAAGCCACAGCCGTGCACTACCTGGATTTACTTTGTTTAAGCTGCGCATGTGTTGAGGAGCAGCCGCAGCCAAGCCCCGCACACAGATGGTGACGGTTAGCGCAGGCCCCGCGCTGAGTTTGCCCCACATGGCACAAGCCGAGCAGGAGCAATGTAATGTACGCGCTTTCGGAATGCGGGGGGGGGGGGGGGGGGGAGCCACAACCAGGTTATGCTCAGCCTTCAAAATCAACCACTTTCGTTCTTTTGTTAGCTTTTCACGGCTAGTAAAGGCTCGCTCCCTCCCCCCCCCCCTTTTTTTCTGATAAAAACACTAAGATTGCTACTGTACGTAAAAAAATCAGGACGTGTAATTTCACAGGTAAATTTACACACAAATTCTCGCCATTGCGCAGGACACAACGGAATGCCGAGAATTCATGGAAAGATCAAGGACCTGTCACGCTTTGATGCAAACTTCTTCAATACGTACCCGAAGCAGGCTCATGTGACCGATCCACAGTTGCGGCTGCTACTGGAGACGTCGTACGAGGCGATACTGGATTCCGGTTACGACCCGGAGTCGTTTCGGAAGCGCAAAGTTGGTGTCTTTATCGGGAACTCGGTCGCTGAGTCGGGCGAGGCATTTAAGCTAGACACTGACAAAGGGGACGCTTATACCATTCTGGGATGCCACAGGGCTATGTTCTCCAACAGGATTTCATACTCTCTAGACCTTCAAGGTACGTACAACTCACACTGAATAATAAGAATCGTCTACCTTTAAAGCTAAAGTACTGTATATGCTTTGCAACGCAATTTCATGATTCCTAGATTTCCAAGGTACAACAATGAGCACTCTTAGAATGAACACGTGAGCGCGTGGCTGACACCACAATCAGCGCCACGTAACACTTATCGTCTGAAACATTCAACATGACCAGCATGAGCACCAGGTTATGGATAAAGTCGTGTGTCTACAGCTTGCCGAATTTCTGTCTTCTAAGCTGACTCATCTCTCATTTTGAATTATTTTCTTCTGTGTAGTTTTTTTAATGATGTTTTATTCAATAGTTCAAAAGTACATCCTTTTAAACTCTTTTTTGTATTCACGCACCAAGTTTTGATCGAGGTGGACTTTGAAATGCAGCTTGCAAATGATGAACAAGCCTATTCATGACGTGGAGCATGAGGTGGAAAGAGAGTGTCGCAGCGCACATGCTGGGCATGTGCAATGTTTCCGACGATGAGTGTTACCCGTCGTCGATAGGCCGCACACTCGCGTGTTCACCGTGATTGTGCTCAGCGCTGTACGCAGAACTCGCACTCAATTTTATTATAGGTTGGCCTTTCGAAAGAATAAGTAAAGTATATGCTTTAAGAACAGTAGGAGTTGTTTCAGATAACCCAGTGCATGACAGCAAAAAAGAAATAGCCTAGGCAGCCAACAGAAAATAACAGAGCGTTTTGTCCTTTGACTATAGCTGCTCAGGAAATATGTGAGATATTTGGGCGATGAAGGCGCCTTAAAACTCAAAGTGACTACCCTAAGATGCTTCTGTCCAGTTTGTAACCACATGACCAACAGCTTGTGCGAAATTATTGCTTAAGAAAGAAAACGTAATCTAGGTGACGCCCCGTCTGCAGCTAGCCACTTCCATATGTTTACAGTTGGCCGTTCTTAAAAAATATGAAAGAACCAAGTCTTCGGGCACGTCACAGGACGTGCATGTGTGTGTGCGGTCAGTCGGAATAGTAATTAGTGATTAAGTTAGATTGCCTCAATTATTTTGTTGCTTATATTGCATTTCAGTGTAATACGTGGCATATTCATCCCCTTTTACTTGCATAACTTAAGCACAGAAACTCTTAATACATCTGGCAGCTGAGTCGTTGTCTCAACCGCGGGCAGCGTAGGGATAAAAAAGAAAGTTTACCGAATAATAGGATACTACCCTATTCAACGGCAATAGCACTCAACAGAGGAACGGGCGATTAAAAGCTGCGCTTTAAAAAAATGAAACAGGCTAATTTATTGTTCCAGCTTTTCAAGCAGACAGCATGCACTTTGTTGCTTTTTGGTCAACAAGTTCGTCAAACTGGGAACTGAACAACAAATAGCGATGCCTGTGGAGACCAGCGATTGGAGACTTCATAGTGCCTCGCAATGCTTCAGAAATAATGCTTTTTTAAGAAATGATTGTTCGTTGTTTGGTTTCTTCATTAGCACGAATTTATTCACACCAGTTAAAACATTTTGGCTTTTGTAGTGCTTTTTGCTCGCAACGTTAGCATTCTATTATAAAAAATTGTATTTATTTGATAATCAGCTCATTACCGCGCAAGCATAGAGCTACACATTTAATATTGCATTCACAAACATCTCCATACAAATCTCTAAAACCAAGCTTAAGTATTTTGCAAGTTCATGCTCTATTCTGCCATTGCTTGTTTTTTTTATATTTTAGAACATCGAAAAATAAACAGCCAAAATGAAATGAAATGCTTTTAAACATTAAATTCTGATATCAATTATATGAAGAAGGAAATACGCACATTTCTGAGTCTTACAAATGCCATGTAACTGATGCTTGGAAGATACGTGCGGCCACCGCGACAGGTCGTCGGCTTTCGCTTTGTGCTTGAAAGCACGTGCGTACTGATTAGATTGTCGGCCTAGAGAATTTAATTTCTTGGTAAGAAAATAAAACACAAGAAAAAAACGCATGCCTAAATTCATGCACTCGTAAAAGAGATATTGAAATTGTGTACGTAAGATTCCACTACGGCTTATTACAGAATGGCAGGGTTTTAGAATAGAAGCTTCAAGGGGCCATTTCGGCACTCACCCACGCGAGTTCGGGAGAACCCTCACAACACTTCGTGAGCATCGTCGTAAAACAAGAAAAAGAAAAACAACACGTGACCTTCGAGGGAGCAACATGTTGTGAGGAAAGGGTGGGCCTGTTATGACGTCAGCAAGTGATGCTGCTATAAGGTGAGCTAATGCCAGAGGGAGACATAATTCTCACATCACACAAGTACGTCATGATCTGTCATCGTCAATTGGTCTAGTATCCTTCATTGTCAGGAGCAGTGGAGCGCCACTTGAAATGCAGAAATTGAAATGCAGGAAAGAGGTGTGTATGGTGAGAGACAATATTGCTGTGACATCACCATGTAATGCCACATTAAATTAGGTAGTACCAAACATTGACGTCATCCTAACGTCACTAATTAGCCTTCAGATGACTTCGTCGATTGGCCAGAGGTCGTTCTATCCCAAAGGCAGCTGGACACCGTGTGAGACGCCAAAATCCTTGAGAGAAAGGGGAGGACCATTGCCATGTTCTGACAACATCGTGATAATTCAATGTGCAGCTCTCATGACGTGTACTTTTACTTCTTGCACAAAATATTGCACAACTTAATGCTCCACCAAGTGTTCAGCTCACTTTCGCTTTGAGGTCATATAAAGAGCATAGCATATACTGCTAGTTTTGTACCTTGGGATGTGCTACCCGAAATTCGCTATCACAAATCTATATGCACTAACACCAATTGAAGCTACTTGGCGATATTTTAGCCACTTTAAATCGAGTACAGCACTCTTAGAACTCTACTAATCACAGTATACAAAACAAGTTGGTGACTTTCGAACGTATCATGTTATCCCTGTTGCGAAAACTAGCAGTTGTTCTGAGGAACAAATGCAGCTGATTGGTGAAGCTGCTTAGACGAGGGACGCAAAAAACTGCGTGCGCTATCTGGTGAAGCGCATTTCATTTTAATTTTGCTATATCTTACAAAATGTAGCATTAATGCAGCAGTTATGAAATGTATTATCAGTGGGCTAATATTGCACCATGACCTCTTCAAATAACTGCATTTTACTTAAAATAAAAGAGTGGCACACCCTAGCACCAGGACACATCGTGACATATCAAGCAATCAGTGACGCTGTCCGGATGCCGCATAACTGGCTATGCGACAAATGTTTGAAGGCGTGTCGACGTGACGGTGAGCGCCAACTACACTCTAATGACAAAATGGCAGCTAACTGTCACTAGAAATGTTCGTACTCTAATCAAAGCTCGTGCAGTCACCGACGTATATCAGAAAGTTCACGCTAAGCCGCAATGACGGTTGTATCACAAGTTGCTTGATGTCATTTTACTGAGCCGCCAATAAATTTCTTAATATACTATACTTAGCTACTTAGTGGCCATATATATCGGCGTAACTTCACATTTGTCAGAATGAAGCTGATTATTATTCAATCAATGCTGATTGACCACCAGTGCCTAGACAACTGGACAATCAGTAGTGTCAAAGTGTATGTTGTAAAATTTTAGCAAGTCCGCCTTGGTAGATTAGTGATTATGGTGCTCGCAAGCAGACCCAAAAGTCGTGAGTTCGATCCTGATGGCGGCGGTCGTATTCTAGTGGAAGCCAAATGGTGGAGGCCTGCGCGCTGTTAATATCACGGCATGTTATATCACAGCAGATGGTTGAAATTTCGGCAGCCCTCCACTACGGTGTCTCTCGTAATGATTTCATGGTTTTGGGAGGTTAGACCCCCTATATTAAGACCCCCTATTATAGTAATGAATCAGTTCATATTATTATTTGTCGATGACCCAGGACCCAGCATGACTATTGACACGGCCTGCTCGTCGACGATGGCAGCCCTGACCGAAGCCCTGCTGTCGATTCGATCTGGAAGCTGCGAGGCAGCCATCGTGGGAGGAGCCAGCATAACCCTCGATCCATACTACATGAAAAACTTCCAGGCATTGGGCGTGCTCTCAAGTGACGGCAAGTGCAGGCCATTTGATATAAGTGGTAAGAGTTTCATTGAATTCAGATTTATTTATTTATTTGTTATATTATGGAACACTGCAGACACACAATTTAAAGAGAACTAATATGCCGACTTCATTATACAAATTAGTTTGGTTATAGTTCCAGGGGCGAATGACTAATTTATTGCGCTCGCAGTCATGAAGTAAGTTGTAAATGCAGAGTGCCTACTGTGACATGAAGGGCGAGATGAGAGGTGAAAGAGGTGAACAATAAAACACTGGTGCGCACACTAAAACAAGGACCTTGTTGTTAGTGTGGCACAATAAGTCAAGAAACATTGCAAACTTTAGCAATAACTTGTGCCTAGGAATTTCTCGACAAATGGTAGTTCGTTGAGTAATAAAGACCTCATCACGTGAGCTGAAGAAAGTCGCAATAGTTGAGTCGCATTTTCGATTGTTTCAGAATATCTGTTCCATGAAAATTAAGTGATCGAAGTGTCCTTAAGCACTTTCACAGACGCTAGCACGAAATAGCTTTGGGTTATGTTACCGAGACGTTACCAATACATTCCGACTTACTATCTAAGCATACTATGATGTTACCACAGCAACAGTGCCCAGGACTTCGCGACTCGCATTAGTGAAACCAGTCCAGGCCACACTACGGAGCATCCATGGAAGTTAAGCTTACTGACGGATCTTTGTGTCCAATACAGATACTTATAAGGTGAAATAGTGTTCAGACTATTTATTGCTTCATATTTCTCTAATTCACACACAACAGTGAAGAACTCCTTTCAACTCTGCCTTTGGAAAGCATTGTGTAGAGTCACAGCAGTAAGCCGGAATCGTCACAAGTACCAATCACATGGAAGTGTTTATTACGACTACAGTAGGCCAGAGAAATGAAGCTTCAAGGGAAAGATTCCTTGACATTCGTTTCCGCACATGTTCACCACCAGAACTCGTATTTCACAACGCAGGTGATGGCTACGTTCGAAGTGAAGCTGTCGGCGCATTCTTTCTTCAGAAATTCTCTGGGGCCCGGCGTGTATATGCCCGGGTGGTCAACGCCAACATGAATTCCGATGGTTACAAGGAACTGGGTGAGTCAGCTAGACCACGTACGTACTACGGCTGCGTTCAACGTGAGCGCTGAAGCTGATTAGAAACGCATGCTCGCACATCATGCCGAAACTCGCCGGCGGCTGCTGCTGTAATGGAACGTCAAGTGCTTCGTTGGAGGTACGGTATTCCTGAATCAAGCTAGACTCGAAGTTAGCAGTTAGTGTGAAAAATCAGCTTCTCACTTAACATTTTTTTTCATAGCATTTAAAGTCTTTAGGCGCATTCCTAAGTGATGGCAAGACTTTGCTACCAATGTCTTCGCACCGAAGAAACAAATCGAGTTGTGAACTAGCGCGCGAAGTTGTTAGTTTATGTGCGTTATATATTTTCCTTCTACGCAGGCGTTAGGGAATCTCATCACAAACCCACTGGCCTAGATAACGCATGGTGCCTTTGATAACTATATCCATTTGCAATTAGCTGGCCTCTGTCATATGTTACACGACGTTTAACACTGGCCGCTACATACGTGACAATGCTGCAGCAATTACTCTAAGCGGGCTGTTATTCTTGCGATGTAATGCGAAATATTTTCCTGTTTGTACTGAATTTCTTTTCCGCAAGACTAATGTCAGAGCCATTTTGGAATATGGCTGCACAGCTTCGCATAGTGAAACTAAGTGAGGCGGTGAAAAAAAAATTTAACAGGGTTAGAAATTTAGCAGCTCGGTTCATATCGGGGTTGTGAAGTACACGTATCGAGGCGCTGAGTTGGAAATAACGATTACATTAGAATTACCAAATACACCGTTGATGTGAATTGCGATTCGGAGGTTCTTTCTTGCTGTCTGTCATTGCCATCTTAGAATCGATAAGCCAAACTATTTACTTGCACCACAGTATTCTCAGACCACGTGAATCGCTGGTTCAAGATACGAGAAATCATATGCAAGGCTCATGTATTTCAAAATGTTTTTTTTTTACCAAAACAATCCACAAATGAAGCCAGTGGCCTTCAAGCATTGCCTCTAGTATAGCAAACAATTTTATTCACTGAAAATTGTTACGAAATCGCTACAAGGGCCGTTTTGGCGCCTTTGGTGTCCCTCGCCACAATCAACGGTGTCCGTAACCGTTGTCACTCAAAGTAAGAAAAATATCCAGCATGTAATGCCATTACAACCTTGTTTCTTCTCATGGCAGCCTAGTATTCTACCACAGCGCATTGCTGATGCTCGGATCTTCTTTGTAAAAAGAACCTATACAGGTTTATGTAGAAAAGGAAGCACGTTAATGTGCATAAAACTATAGTGGTGTAGAAAAGTGAAATGACAACAAGGCTTCACACAATACGAATTGCCTAACGAATATTGTAAGATATTTAGCGGGATATTGAATCTCGCAAACACTCACACAAGCACTCACTGAACCACCCGAGTAACACACACAACACTCAGCGCTGAGTGTCGTGTGTTACTCGGGTTCTTGAGTGAGTGTTTGCGTGAGTGTTTGCGAGAATCAAGGTTGCGCTAAATATCCTACATTATTACGAATAACGAACTAGCCCAACAAGTTTTATTGCGTAACAAGTGTGTTGCTGAATTCTTTCAAGTCGTTACAGGGCTCACACGAAATTTTTTTATTGGCAGCAGCTAGCGCATCCACAAAGTGCATATAATGCCTTGCAAATGCCTTGCGGGTACCTCGCTACACTGTAAATAACAAATATAGATGCAGTGGGTCTATCTCAACTTCACAAAAATTATTATTTTTGGCGTAGTGGATACCGTCTAAGTGCATCTGCAGTAGTAGTCTGAGGGGTGTTTAAAACAATTTCATGAAATGCATCTCTTCCGGCTTTCGCTATAACGATGCTGTGCTGTCCGCGCAGACTACTATGTTTTTTTTTTTTAACGCAAGAGCGTTAAACAGCTCGTTTCACAAAAATTCTGGCATGGGCGTCGTTGGTTGTCAGCGAAAAAGCATCATTCTCGCGTGACTGAAAAATTGGCTATCTTTGCATGACCGGAAAAGTTGAGAAAGGCGCAAGTAAAATAAATACGAAAAATACAACGTCTGAGTGGGAATTGAACTCTGGTTGTTCGCGTGTCAAGCGATTGTTCTACTATACAGACACACCTCTGCTTGTTAATACAGCAAAAAGAACTTCCTCTGCTTGGAAATGCGCTGAAACTTACTTTTATGCTTCTCAAACACATGCGTCCCATGTACGTGTTTCAGAAATAAACAAAATACAGCCGTATTAATGCGTGGTACAAGCGTGCAATGCCATCGAGCATCGAAACATAGCGTTATCATAATGACTTCATAGTTTAACGCCAGTCACCCACAACAAAAGACACTTGCGCTACTGCAGCCTTAAAGCCACGCAGTGGGTTCATAGCAAGTTCAAAAAGATTTTTATACTATAAGTGTTGGAAGTACGCAATAGGAAGACAACATTGATGTCGCGTTCAACTCTTAAAGGCGAAACTTAAGGGTCCCCTGATCTTTTTTTTTTTTTTTGCTTGTATGATTACATACTCACTTCACATATTTTTCTCATCGTGACATATCTATGTGTTCTTTTTTTTACTATTTGCCAATATCGATGAGTCGTATAACTGACACTATACACTTTTTTTGTTATTTAGTTTTTTATACCCACCTCATTACGATTCGTCTTTGCATTGTGGTATACGAAATACTAAGTAAATAAATGACTGTGAGATATCTAAATAAAAGCTGGTGTCAGCAACATCTGTCATATTATGTATTGTGGGGTAATTATTTCACACTCCTTCCAGACGACTAGAAGCTTTACGCATGCACAGACAGTGAGACAAAAAACAGCAGCTCGGAGGTAAACAGGAAGTGCGAAATGGCGATAAGGTTTTTCCGACAAGAGCCCTGTCTCTACTGCCCCTGTTTTAGGGGCAAATATGGAACACGCTCAATCAGTAGGCAACAAAGTAAACTGAAAACAGGGGCGATTGTTTGAATGGCTCTTGTTAAATTTCGAAATCGGGGTGAAATGAAACAATGCTGGCAACACGATATTGCGGCGTTCAAAGAACAATGGTAAGAGCATTGAGGTGGAAAATGGTAGGAACATGAAGCAATATTAAAAAAAAACAGCATATCTGCTATCATGAGTTGGAACAGGTCTCTTTAATGAACAATGTTCAAATCCCACCTGGCTGTCTTCAAACAGATAATACCATTATTGTGACTATAATTGTCATTGTGAGTTACATTGTTTTCTGCCAAAGAATGGCAACCCGTGACAAAATGATTCTTTCTAAAATGACGATTGCATTTACGATATTTGATCCGTTCGCTCATGACTGTATGTATGTATGGTGATTATATCATACGCGCTCATAAATAAAATGGTCTGCGGCCCACATGGTAGACATATAATCAAAGGCTCGCATCGCATAGACACCAATTTGACACATTTGAGCTTTTGAAGTTAGTGGTCATAAAAGAAATGTGTTGACTGCATGATGAAGTACTCGCCAAAGTGAATTGACACCGAGCTGGAGTGCGTTAGCGTACTGTATACTTAAGCACAAGAGGCGCGTACAGATCACGTGGTTTTTGTTTTTCTCAGGTGTGCCGTTTCCTTCGTCTGTTGGGCATGAGAAACTTCTACGTGACACATACGCGGAGGCCAATGTGGACCCTGCAAAAGTAGTTTATGTCGAGGCGCATGGCACTGGGACCAGGGTTGGCGGTACCCAGGAGTTGGAAGCCCTCAGCAACGTTCTGTGCACACCAGAGCGTGAGCGACCGCTCTTGATTGGATCTGTCAAAAGCAATGTGGGACACGCCGAGAGCGCTTCCGGTGAGTTGTTTGTGGTTACCTAAGCGTCCTTTTTCTGTCCTCTACTCTTCGCATTCTCCGATTCTCCTCTGTTTCAAATAGGGTCGTCCTTCTTTCTCTCAAAATTTCTCGAGATCCACAGGAATTGGAGCTTTCGGCCTGCGTCTTGAAAGACGCCCCACCAGACGTTTCGAAAAATCTAAGCAACTCGTGCCAGCCAATCCGTGTACTGATGGCCCGACTATAACTGGCAGAATTGATCATTTTTTAAACACATCTCGTTCCTGCTCCTACTCCACTGGCTCACGTGCGTAAGTGTTACCCTCTTTTGTCACCCAGCCAACGTTTTTTGGTGGATGACAGCGCGTCGGAGGCAACCGTTAAGTCTCGGAGTCTCTTTGCTAACTGGAGGTGTTAAAATCTCAGCAAGGCGGCTTTGTTCTGCCATAAAAATGATTAATGCATCGAATTCCTCTCAGCACTCAAGCAATAATACTGCCAGCAATCTCACATAAATGTGTGGCGACTTAGGGTATCCGTTGCGGTTTTGTAAAACAGCCATTTTTCGGTTTTTTCGGGAGGAAAGGAGACCTCTTTAACAAATTTGTGTGCTCTGCTATTGCATGCGTGCCTTCACTCCACGAATAATTACAGTGATTGGACAAAACGTCAGGATCACCATATTGCACCGTCGCTCACAGTCGCACTTGTAAAATATTAATATATTTGATCTATTCGAGCGCTATGTAGCCGTGGGGCTCAATATGTGTAAACAGAAGACACATTATATACGTTGGGTTTTGAGAAATTGTAAAAAACTGTGGCATATCCGCAAAAAGGCCAATAGGGTGATGCGGAGCATCGTGGCCATGCAGTGTGAGCAGTTGTTTTTTTTTCAACCAAGAAACTCGCCAGCAGATGCTACCTGCTTCGGCTTTGTGACTTGTGACACGCGGCGGGGAGGATTTGATTAATATGTGGGGTTTAACGTTCCAAAACCACCATATGATTATGAGAGAAGCCGTTGTGGAGGGCTCCATAAATTTAGACCAACTGGGGTTCTTTATCATGCACCCAAATCTGAGCACACGGGTCTATTACATTTCCGCCTCCCTCAGAAATGCAGCTGCTGTAGCCGGGATTCAAACCTGCTACCGCCGGGTCAGCAGCCCAGTACCTTAGCCACTAGACCACCAAGGCGGGGCTGCGGGGAAAAAACGTAGGTTGACTGACGCTCTCTTCGTCGGCATTGCGAGGTAGGAGAGGGGAGTGTAAGAAAGAGAGGGTAAGGGACGCGCATGCGCATTGGAGGAGCGGGCGCAAGCAGGTGATAAAAGAAAAAAGCACAGATTAACGTGCAGATTTTCGAGAAAGGTAAGGAGGAGAGTCGCACATGCCTAGTGTGAGTGCGGACAACAGACGCATGACATACCTGTGAGCAAGAGATGCTACGCATCTAAAAAAGCCCTGTGAAGAACGAGTTGTGAAGCCAAAGTTGGGGGTCAGGAAAATTGTCACCTTACGAAATGTTGAGGCTGTACATGTCTTTCTGTGACCATGGGACGCGCATGTCGTGAGGCTGTTCCAGGCGCCGTCGAATGCTGGAATGAAGAGGCGCCACTTCATGCCTATGCCACACGAAAATAGTGCTCAGGCCGAGATAGCCTATGCAATCAAGCTATACGTCTGCGCATCACTTGGGAAGTCCGCATGAATATTCTGCGTCGATTTGGTGGGTCTTCAATTTGCAAGTACCACGCTCTTGGAGTGACGAACACAGCAGACGCTGTCGGTACATACCAAACAACAACATACATTTATTTGACTATATCGTCCGCTGAATTATTGTACATTAGGTGTAAGTAACACGCTAGGACATCCTTAAGGAATATAGCATACACTCCAAAACATGAAAAACACAATAACACACCCAAGGCGGCGCCACCAACGCCTGATTTACCAAGAGGGCCCCCGACGCGCAACCTGTGGTTCCACCCACCGGACCCATGCTGGAGACAACCGTTCGTGGCAATCGCCACGCGCAGAAGAGACCAGCTTATTTCTTGTGCGCCGCCACCAAGGCTTGCCTGCTGCCAAGGGTCACTGCCAGCGCTACCAGTGTAACAACCATGATAATGACAGCGGTGATCACCGCTCGCGTACACACAGCGTCAGCTATCGCTGAATAGGCGTGATTCCGAAGTATGGCTTCTGCGCAAGATGAACGTGCCACGAGTTGCAAACAACTTTACAAGGGAGTCGCAATACTCTTTTCTCACTTCCCCAACCTTAATTCAAACCATATTCTGAAAAACAAAAAAAAAATTGCTACACAAGCTTTAACAAAAAAACGTTGTCCCCGTATCTTCATGTTAATCTTCAAATGTCGTCGAAACACGGTAGTCTTGCGTGTGGAGAGAGGGAACAAAATGTTAATTTGATGTTCTGCGCAAAAAAAATCAGTTAATGGTATTTTGGAGGCGCTGCGTTAGAGTACCTCGAGCGTGCAGCGGAGGCGAACGAGCGCATCAAGTCACGTCACACGTGAGACATGAGCACCATCTGGCACTCTTCTTGAAAAACGAAGCGCGTGGATTTGAGATGGATGTGCGCGCCCGTCTAGAGGTGATAAGGTGTAAAACGCAAGGCGACGGGTAGGTGCCACCACCGTCTCGTCTTAGCAAACCGTTGGAAACACTCGCCTTTCGTGCAAGCGTTGTATGGTCAGCGCAGCGGGTTGGGCACTACGGTCCTTGAAATTACTTATGTGTGCCTTTTATAGTAAAAGACGCACATGCAGAATATATACAAGTTGTTATGGTGCCCAAAACAAGCGCAGTATTTTCTTTTTAATTGACAATTGCACAAGTATGAACGTTGAATCTTGAACAACATTGCTGGGCACTGCAGATTGGATCAGCCGTTTCAAGTACCCGGTGCCGTTAAGAGTCAATCAAACAGACAAGTGTACAGACAGACAGACAGACCAAAATTTTTGCGTTGAGGATCACCATGAAAGACTATTGTCTTTAAAAATGACAACACATGTTGCTTCGTAATGTCCGTGCACCACAACACCGCCACCAGTCGACACTGCTGCACGTACTGTTCTGCTCCGACGACTTCACCTCAGTACCGGTTCCGCAACAGCAACGTGGCCGTCGGCGCGATGATCCGTCACTCGCGCCGACACGTCTTTCCGGTTGCGAACAGCACTCATGAGTGCGCCAGACTGCAGGCAGTCGCGCTGGTCCCAGGCATGTCCATCACCCGTCCTTACGACTGCATTCCCCGCCAGTGGCGCTGACGATATGCAAAGACAGCCAGCCGCAAGTTACATCACTCCTGCTGTGTACATTCCAAAACACTCGGAATAACAATGCAGTCGGCCCAAGGGAAGGAAGCTTCAGGCTTTTCGCCCACGCGGTACGATGGTCAGTACTGCTAGCTAATACATAGGAAGCGGCCGAGACGCCCATGAAAATAAAACGAAAATCAGTTCTCATAATTTTTGCATCGCAAGATAAAAGGTGAGGGAAGCAGAGTGCAACACCCGGACGCCACGATTCACCTAGTTGTGCCACGTGCGATAGGCAGCTGCACAAAGCCTTAAGCCTAATAAGTCGCTCGACAACAACCGGCATCCACTCAGCACCCGGCCTAGGCGCAGACGAGGCAGCCGCAAGGAGCCGTCCACTCTATAAGGTGGCTCTGTCTGTCGCCGCACACAGCAGCTTACCGAGCGATCGGCGTCCAACGTTCCGAACGGTGTTATGACGCCCCAGGGTCGAGCCGCAATACCAGACAGCAACGACGCCCAGCTCCCTGAGCCCAAAAGAGATAGAAGAAACTATATGCAGAAAATCGGACCGCCAAAGAGGCTTTCGTACACACTCGCTTCGGGCCTGGCCTACAATCCACATGCTCTACGCTTTGCTCACCGCAGGATGTAGACCGCATGGATATCGTCCCAACTGAACATCGTTCCTAAAAACTGACAACAACAACAAAAAAAAACACTTGTGAGCAAAAAAAAAATAAAAACAACTCCAGACTTCAACTGCCAACAAGTTCAAACACGCCAAACAAACCTATCTCCAACAAATTCGCTGTCAACAAAGCCCACCACCGACTCAAGCAAAAAAAGTCGTCCTAGGCCTACTTTACCACGGCTCTAACAAAAACTTGTACCGAACCACGAAAACTGTCGTCCGACGCTACAAGAGCCCCACGTTGGGCAGCCAGTGTGGGGTATCGAAAGGGCAAGCGCCACGCCACGCTCTTGGCGTGAAAGGACACAGTAGACGCGGTTGGAACAAATCAAACAATGCAAACATATTTATTTACCTTATTTTGAACGACGATATCGTCCGCCGAACTAAAGGACACAGTAGACGCGGTTGGAACAAATCAAACAATGCAAGCATATTTATTTACCTTATTTTGAACGACGATATCGTCCGCCGAACTACTATAACATAAATTGTGATCAACACAATAGGACATCCTTACACAATTTTACCATACATTCTAAAACATGATAAATACAATAACACACCCAAGGTGGCGTCGCCAACGCTTCACTTACCACGAGGGCCCCCGACGCCCAACCCGCGGTGCCACGCACCGGGGACCCACGCTGGAGACAACCATTCGCGGCAACCGCCACGCGCAGAAGAGACTCGTTTAACTCTCTCGTCCGCTACCAAGGCTTGCCTGCCACCAGGGTTCACTGCCGGCGTTACCAGTGTAACAACCTTGATGATGATGATAGCGGTGATCACCGCTCGCGTACACAACGCAACCTAACGCTGAATGACCGTGACCCTGAAGAATGGCTTCTGCGTAAGACATGTGCGCGACGTAGTGCAAACAACTTTACAGGGAAGTGTCAGTACCCCCACAAGTTTCATACACCGGGAGTGACTGGTGATACCACGTTCTAAGTACAGCAGCTAGGGTGTTAACATCTGTTCAGTTAAACTGCATCGCATCTGTACCATGGTATCGGTGCTAGTTAAGAGCGCTACTAGTTGTGCACGTGCAGTTGAATATGTCAGTAGTTTTCAGATCTCGCCTTTCTAGTTGTACATAAACTTCGGTGAAGATAAAGGCCGCCAAAATACTAAACATTAACCTTGAATTTATTACCTTGAATTAACATATATTTACTGGTCATTTATGTTAAGCCATGACATGCACCAAATCGTAACACAACCAACACGTGTTTCAGGGTCAAGCAGCTCGATGCTTGATCTAGTTTTTCTGAGCCGTATAATTGAAAATGTTACCGTGATTGTTAGTAGCGGTATTTCTGACCATTTAATTGTTGAGTTTTTCTGTGTTTTTGAAAATATATGCTACCCCGAGCCTCGGCTCAAATCTGTATTTATCAAAAATTTTTCAATGGCCCAGGATGTAAGTGTCTTAGACCATCTCGACCTTTCCCTCAGCTGGTTTTGTGGTTCTGATGCCGTCAAATTATGGGATAAATTCAAAAACATTTGCTTATATTGCCTCGACAACTTCATTTCAAACAAAATAAGACATGTACGAAAAACAACTCCATGGATAACGCGTGAAATTTTGCATATCAAAAGGAAAATCAAAAGGCTAAGACGAGGAGCGGCTGACCGTAATACTATTAGTGCCAACCAAATCGTTCTCAACTCCGCTGTCGCAAACTCAAAGCGTCTGTACTTTGAAAATACTTTGCCAAACTATATCAGGAATGCCCCACAGAAGTTTTGGCGTTTCCTGTCCAGTAAAAAAAAAGCCTATAAAACAACTTAGCCGCGGTGGCATGCTCCTGGTTGAACCTCTCCATATTGCTGAACATTTTAATGCTTATTTCGAAAGTGTTTGTTTCTAAATCGAGTGATCCCATGCCTACAATCCATGTGCCTTCAGCCCCCGATGATGACTTTATATCTTTACCTGGTGTTGTTTCATTGCTCCTTAACTTTAAAACAAAAGCTTCCCCAGGCCCTGACAAATTGCCCAATATTTTTCTTCGTTGTTATGCCGAGATGTTGGCTCAATTTCTGGTTATAATTTTTGGCGCATCTCTTTCAACCGCAATTATACCTCCTCACTGAAAAATAGCCCGCTTGGTACCCGTCTTCAAAAAAGGTGACCCTACATGCCCTTGTAATTACAGGCCAATTTCAATGACATCATCGTGTTGCAAACTTCTTGAGCATATCATAGCTAACTACATTCACAAATTTTTACATGACCGTAATTTGCTTTCTTCTGTTCAACATGGTATTAGAAAAGGTTTCTCTACAGTAACGCAATTAACATCGGTTGTTCACAGTCTTGCCGCCATTCTTGACAAGTCGGGCCAAGTAGATGCTATTTTTCTAGATTTCTCCAAAGCTTTTGATGTTGTTTCCCATGTTCACCTTATCAATAACTTACAATCTACTGGTCTTCCTGCATTTATAGCTAACTGGATATCTCCGTACCTGAGTTACCGCGAGCAATTCGTTCGCATTGATAATGACTGTTCACTATCCCTCCCCGTGTCATCTGGTGTCTCGCAAGGAAGTTTCTTAAGTCCTTTGTTGTTTCTCATATATGTTAACGATATTGTGGATGTGATTACTGGCCCTGTTCAAATAAAGCTGTTTGCAGATGATTGTGTATTACTTAATGAAATAACATGCCGAGAAGACCGATCAGTATTGAATTCCAACCTTTGTATTATATATGACTGGTTTACTAAGTGGAATATGAACCTAAATGCCGACAAATCAGTTTTTATGAAAATAACCAATAAGAAAAATTCTCTATCATTCCCTTACAACCTTTCAGGACAATCTTTGAACGAAGTTACAGAATATAGGTACCTGGGTCTTACCATAACAAACACTTTAAGTTGGAACAAGCACATTTCAGACATTTGTGCGTCATCCTTTCGGAAACTGAGCCTTTTAAGACATAAGCTCGAACATGCTCCTGCAAGTGTTAGAATGCAAGTGTTAGAAGACCTAAATTGGAGTATGCATGTATAATCTGGGACCCTTACACAAAAACTAACATTCATGCACTTGAGATGATTCAGCATAAAGCTGTTTGGTTCGTTTACTCTAAATACCGTTCGAGTGATTCCCCAACCCAACTCATGAGAGACCATAACATACCAACCTTAGAACTAAGATGCAAAATCCAAAGAATAAAATTTCTTTATCTTCTAAAGAATAACAAATTGTCAATGAGACCAGAACAATACATCCAACCACTCACCGCTCGCAGAACAAGACACCGGCATGCCGACTCTCTAACGCCCTTCAATGCTAGAACTAACATTTTCAAATTCTCCTTTTTCCCGCGCACTGTAACCGAATGGAATCAATTACCAGCATTATTCATAAAAAGCATAGACTCAATTGAGCATATTGTATGTTGACCTGTATTGTTAAAGTATTAAATGTCTTTCTTATTCATTGTTTGAGTTATGTCCTTATTTTTCGTGCTTTTTATGTTCTTGATCTTCTGTTGTCCTTATTACGAGCTTTGTAAATACGTCCCTCCTGCTTGGGCCCTTCACTGGGCCTGCAGTATTATGTATATAAATAAATAAATTAAAATAAAAAAATATATGAAAGTGCAATGTCATGTAACTTTTCTGCTTTTACTAGAATTTTTTTTTGTAATACACGTATGTGCGTTTATGCGCAAGTGACCGTCCGCTATGTTGTGGTTTGAATGGACGAGCGAAATGCATTCTGACTCATCCGATACAGTGTAACTACTCCTGACTAATTGTACGTGCCATATTTGTACAGAGTCAATTGCAAATAAGTATCAGTCTTTGAGGAACCAAGATGACGAATATTTGGTGGCATACTGAATAAAAAAAAATTGGGTGGATAAAGTCTTGCCTTCTTAGACGGTCATACATTTAGGCTCCTGCGGCAAATTGTGGCGTGTTGGTTCAAGCTCAGTTTTTGTAATGAATATTCTTCAGCATTATTATGATTCTTCGCACTTCAAATATTTTCGAGCTGGCAGATGAAAGCCTTTTGTAACAGTGATAACCCTCCCTAAATAAGCACTAATTTGAAAGTTGTCACTGCTCATGTGTCCCCATGGGTCCCTGTTGTACTGGCGACGCCATGTATTTTTTTACTATGGTAAACCTACATTGCTACGACAAAATGTATCAGTAAATCTTTCGTAAATAACAGACATATTTTCAGGGACAGATACTAACTATAGGGATGCTTTCATTTTTTAATGTGCAGAAGAGCCAACCAATGTAATCGCCTTGGCTATCCTTACAGATATGTCTTATGTCCGCTACACAGTATCGAACCTGCAAGACAAGCCCCAACGCTGTGGCCTAGTGGTTAAGGTACTCGGCTGCTGACCCGCAGGTCGCAGGATTAAATCCCATCTGTGGCAGCTGCATTTTAGATGCGGAGCATCTAATACTCGAGGCTTGTAGTGCGGCGCCGTCCGCAAGCTTCCTCCTCCTTCTTCCACCATCTGTGCATCCCTTCCTCCTCTACACACCGCGCGCGCTTCACTCCTCCACCATCTGTGCACCCTTCCTCCTCTACACACCGCGTGCGCTTCTCCTCTTCCCGAACATTTGCTAGCTGTATAATGTAGCACGCATGCGCCGTCACGCTTCGAGAACATCGGCAGCTGACGCGCGCGCATGCGCCGTCGCGCTTCGAGAACATCGGCAGCTGACGCGCGCGCATGCGCCGTTGCGCATCTCCCCCTTCTCGAACATTCGACAGCTGACAGTGCATGCGCCGTCGCGCTGTATATATACTCAAGGTAGGCGCTCGCTCGCTCAGTTGCCGCTCGTCGGTTGGTTTGTACGGCGCGTCGACGTCCAAGGTCGCGGTGAAATGAATTCCAACGAATCCACAAACACAATGATCGACGTCCCTTCGACCAGCGCCGCCCTTTCGCATACGTGTGTACGTGTTCACTCATTTAACACCCCCTCCTACAACCACGTTAACCAATTTAGCCATCGACCCAAGTAAGTCGCATTTTAACACCCCATTTCACAACCACGCTAACCAATTTAGCCATCGACCCAAGTAAGTCGCACTTTAACACCCCGTTAACCAATTATATGCTCCGCATCCTCCTCAGTGTTCCCCCGAGGGAAGCTGTGGGCAATTTTTTTGATAGAGGAAGAATGCTGTAGGCCTGAGTGCTCAGATTAGGGTGCACGTCAAAGAACCCCAGTGGGGGAGGGGGGGGATTTCCGTGGCTTTCCACTACCGCATCTCTCACAATAATATCGCGGTTTCGGAACATTAAGCCCCACATATCAATCCACCTGCAAGAAAGATTGAAAATGTCGAAAGTTTGACTCTTTTTCCCACTGTCTTCAGGCCAATCATAACCCGTTATCGGAAAATTTGCCGGAAAGAGTCCTTGGCTCAATGTTTTCCACTGTCTTCCTGCTGTCGAAGAATGATAATATAGCGACATAGACGTGAACAGACCACCACTAACAATACAATAATGACAAACACGGGGACATGACAACTTCCTCATATTCGGCATCACTTGGGGTCAAGGCGAAATTCTAGTGCCTTTTTCAATGCCATTGCATGGTAAACTACACCAGATGGTTCAAATTCCTGAAGCCAACACCAAGACTTGCGTCAATAAAATTGGTTGTTTTGGTACATACTACTGCTAATATTTATTAATATTATTATTATCATTAGTAGTAGTAGTAGTAGTTAGCATTATTATCAGTATCACAATTAAGTTATTAATAATATTATTATTATAACTTTCAGGGGATGATCGTGCGTAAAAAACAGACTCGATACAATAGCACTTAAAAAGCACAGCAGACAAGCTGAACAATTTGCTTACAAATTAAGCGATAAACAGTTTTTCCGGAATGTCGTTCATTTGTTATTTCACACAACGGTAAATCACAGAACTGCGTAAATTATCACTCTTATCCATGTGTCTATTGCCCGGCTATCTGTCATTACCTATATATTCGGTGTCGTAATTTTCTCCAACCTACTGGTAAAATTGGCTTCCTACACTGTAGCCATTAACATGTTTACCAACCCAATAAAAACTTCTTGTTGCAGCATTCGAGCATTCTGCTTGGCACTCACGCTGTTCCTCGCTCTAAATAAAATTGCGACAGGTGGCTTGGCTCAGTGAATCGGCGTGTTTTACTCACTCTTACTTTCATTTTCGCCGAATCCTCCGCCTCCAGGAATCCCAGCTGTGGCCAAGGTAATTCTCGCCATGGAGACCGGCCCAATAGCGCCCACTCTAAACTTCACCGAGCCACACCCAGACATGGTTTCATTGTGCGATGGCCGCGTGAAAGTAGTTGACAAGACGATGCCATTCGACGGTGGCATGGTGGGCATCAACTCTCAGGGAATTGGCGGTACCAACGGACACGCAATCTTAGAATCTTACCCAAGCCCCCACGTGGATAGCTTTCCGCGTGAGAGGCCAGAACTCCCACGGCTTGTTCTTATGTCTGGAAGGACCGAAGAGGCAACAATGGTGAGTTCCTTGTTTGTTATCTTACGTCTGGCTCTTCCGTTCGCGGCGAGACCCAAGAAGACTCGCTTACCATGCTTGCTATACGTCGGCTACCAATAATAATTCAGTGAACCGGTGCCACTCATTTAACAAAATGGAATTGAAATTCTCTGCTATAGACTAGAACACAATAATTTCGAAGTGTTCTGCCAGTATATTAACGCCTTTACGTCATCTTTTTAAATATGGGCTTAGCAACCACCCTCAACGGCACCATCGCCAGGGGAAATGCAGCGCGAAAACGAAACATTACGATCTGCAGCCTATTACACCTCAGTTGTGGAATGCGTACTTCGTTCTTTCTTAAAGCGTGAAGTTTTCACTGCTTGGAGGTTATGAAATGCCATGGCGCCATGAAATCAAAAGTGACCGCAATGTATACTCTCTAGATTGAGCGATTGGCAATTGAACTTTACGTCATGTGTATTCGGCATATATATATATATATATATATATATATATAGTCCAGTAGATCCTCCGTGAGCGGTAACAACGTGGTTTATTTCGACATTTCGGCCTAGAGTTTGGCCTTCATCAGGATTAAAGGTACAGTTTGTTGGTGCTCAGCTTTATACAATCTCAAATGAGAGAGAAAGGAAAAAGGAAAAAGACAGAAAAAAAGAAGAAAAAGAGAAAAAGAATATAAGGGCTCCCCTTTGGCGTCCCCCTTCCACTCTTTCTTCCACTTCCCCCTTCTCTCTCTCCCCTTTCTCCCCTTCACCTTTCTGATGTCAGCGGTCTGTGTATACTTCCTTTCACTAACGCATTCTTCCCGACCAGACAGCGCCTCCTGGCACTGGCGGTTCGGTGTGGGGCAAGAAAGAGCTTTTTTAGGAAGTTCTAAGCCTTTAACTATTCGGGGCACCGTCGACATTTCGTCATAGAAAGAGGGGTACCGCGTATTGGGGCAGAGGCTAGTAAGCGGGCATTTTAGGAAGTTTTAAGCCTCTGCCCCAATACGCGGTACCCCTCTTCCTACGACGAAATGTTGACGGTACCCCGAGTAGTTAAAGGCTTAGAACTTCCTAAAAAAGCTCTTTTTTGCCCCACACCAAACCGCCAGTGCCAGGAGGCGCTGTCTGGTCGGGAAGAATGCGTTAGTGAAAGGAAGCATACACAGACCGCTGACATCAGAAAGGTGAAGGGGAGGAAGGGGAGAGAGATGAAGGTGGAAGTGGAAGGAAGAGTGGAAAGGGGACGCCCGAGGGGAGTCCACCTTATATTCTTTTTCTCTTTTTTTCTTTTTTCTGCTTTTTTTCTTTTTTTCTGTCTTTTTCCTCTTTTTTTCCCTCTCATTCGAGATTGTATAAAGCTCAGCACCATTAAACTGTACCTTTAATCCTGATGAAGGCCAGAGTCTAGGCCGAAACGTCGAAATAAACCACGTTGTGACCGCTCACGGAGGACCTACTGGACTAAACTATATGCAACGCTACGGTCACTCAACCACCATGCCTGCCTACATATATATATATATATATATATATATATATATATATATATATATATATATATATATATATTGTTAATATTTTCTGATTCTTATTCCTGTTAGGACTTGTATAATATTTGACATTTAGTTCATGTTATTGTTTGTGTGGAAAGTGTACCAATTCATGTATGTATTCCCTTTATGCTCCCCTCACACAATGCCCTGTTGGGTCTGTAAGGTATTTTGAATAAATAAAATCAATATATATATATATATGTCATTAGGAAATGAACTTAGTCAATAGATGGGTCGTTAGGGTCCCTACGTACAACGTTCGCGCAAGACGCAGTCACCTATGGCAGAATTTTTTATACGAGGCAACATTAAGATTTAGAAGTCGCGGGGCATCGATAAACATACGCTCGTGACAACAGAACACTAAAGTGAATTTTTCACAGTTGCAAAGTGCCTTTTCACATGGCTGCGATGCTGCTTCCACACATGATGGAGGTAGTAACTGATGCTGTGTACAAGTGCACTACCATTGTATATTTGTATACGCTTCATCTGGTACCACGAGTTGCAAACCCGAGTGCTCTTCAAAAGTGGGTGCACCATTTCTATTCGATGTTCCTCTCCACCTAAAGTGGGGACTAGTCGTCGTGGGCAGGGAACTACCCTTCTCTCCTGATAAGGTAGTTGCTGCGGCAGTAGTGCGTACCGGTGACAGTTCCGTTGGGTTTGATCAAGTGGTCTCCAGGCACAGCTTTTTCTGACGCAATTTAGGCAGCGGTAATAGCCGACAAACAAGTGGTAATAGAGAAGACAATCAGGCTTGGTAGCACACCAAGCTACGAACACGATTGTCTTACGACTTCAGGTGTGTTAGTCTCATGCACAGCCATGATGATAGTCTCATGCACAGCCATGTCGGTAGTCTCATGCACAGCCAAAGAGCATCGCATGCTCATTATTTTTATAAATGGTGGAACTAAAAGCTTCCATTGCCGTTTCCCCTCCCCCACGGAAGTCTCGTGGCTTGCTCACTGCCCCAGCCAAGAAAATAAGCTGTATTTGATACCAAGGTGCAACATCTGTATTTCAAGCTCGATGACAAAACGAAAAGTTAACTTAGATCTTTACTGAGCTGCGCGAAAAATTCAAGTACAAAAAGAAGACACCTGGTTGTGTCGAGGTGTCTTCTTTTAGTACTTTAAATTTTCGCGAAGCAGAGTTAAGATGTATTACCAACTCCCCCAGCAGTCAGTACTTCCTTGACATAGATTGGCGGCCACAACTACAAAATTCATTATCGTCGCTCTCGGTGTCAATCAGAAAAAACTCCCAAACATTTTGTTTGACTGCCACCACAAAAAAAGGAGTGGAGAAGCATGGGTGAGTGAAGGATACTTCTCTACAGATCTTATGAGTACACTATTTGCAGTAAAAAAAGCTGAAACGTAGAAGCAAGAACACATTTTCTCGCTGCTATAAAAAGAAACGCCTTGGGTTACGCGAGACATTACATAATTGCTGAACGAAGCGATCGTTCCACACACTCGGGATCTTAGAGCGTACCGCCATGTCTGAGCCTATACTGTGACATTGAAGGCCCTCTTTTTTTATTGGAATTTTACAGCGAGCGCTGGAACGAGTACAAGCTGAGGGACCGTACCCAGACTCGGGTTATGCCCTGCTCAATCGAATTGGACAGCGAAGCCTCAAGCAGTTCCCTTATCGAGGATATGCCATCATACCCGTAGACGGCAACAACAAAGGGGTGGTCAAGGCTGTAGAGAGGGCGGCGTCTGAAGAACGACCCCTCTGGTTCGTTTTCAATGGCGTCGGCAGCCAGTGGAACGGAATGGCGCGCCAGATGCTACAGTTTGAAATCTTTGCCGAGTCCATTCGGAAATCTCACGAACTTCTGAAGGAGAAATTTGGGGAAGACCTGATGGGCATGCTGATCTCGGAAGAGCCTCGGTGCAAAACAATTAAGGCTTGTTTTCTTTCCATTGCAGCTGTCCAGGTACGTACTATCAATACTACTGATATATTCAGTACGTCTGCCTCTAAAACAGCGCGAAAATGGAGCGAAGGCTAAGGCAGAGACAAGACAAGCGCGCATGTTTATGCAACGAAAGATATATGCTGAGCATAAGAGCGAAGGACTCTTTGTTAAGATTCTTCGCGTTATTGTGCTCTTTCCAAGGCACGACATGAATGAACTGGCTTTTCAAAAAATCCTTCTGCGATATGCATTTGTGAAAATTCTTCTTTGTTGGACTCCAATTTTGTGTTTCATAGGGCCCTTGCTGTTGTTAAACTGCGACAACCTGTCGAAAATAGTGGTACTGCTTAGGTACAGTTAACAATGTGTTGCATAAGGATGCCAGCATTTCTCCGCTTAGCAATGAAGTTGGAAAGGCTACGCCTCAATTCAGATGCAACGACAGTTATCTACGAATAGCGATTGTATGAAGGCTAGGTTTTTTAATGGGAACAGCTTGTTCTATGAGGTACGAAAGAATTAAGGGAACGACTTCACAAGAAACAGTCTATAAGAAAATAGCAGATTAATCTTCAACACAACACACTGCCAAGCTCTTCCTATTCTGCCCCTGCGCACCGCTGTAGTAATGCTCCATGGCACAGAAGAGTGTATTTCGAACCTGAGAAAAAAAAATGGTATGATGACGAGAGTTCACATTGCGATTATAAAGGGCATGGAAAAAGTGACGAGAACTGCATACTAGGGTATGTACACTCTAAAAAAAGAGCGAGTAAAAACGCTGTCTTTTTGTCCCACAACAATAATCGTCATCTATATTGCGTTCCACCCTTGCGCTATCGCCCCGCGCCTGGTACATTCCGGTCACGAAGACATGCCCATTATCAGGGTTACATTGCATTCTCGATAGGAAAGTGGCCAGCGCCGAGTTTTCAAGAAAGGAAGCTCACGCAAGCCTAATGACGATTATTGTTGTGGGACAAAAAGACACCCTCTTCGCTCGATATTTTTTGAGAGTGTAGAAGCTGCAGGGCTTGTTAGAGTTCGGAGGGGCGTTATGTTTTCTGAAGTAGAAAAATGTCATTACGAACCTGCTTCGCATCGTCACTGTAATTTCGAGCATATCGTTTTGCATCAATACTATAATATCGAGCATTACACTTTCCCGTGTTGACAGCCCCTGATAGGCGTTGGCCAAGCGTACGTCTTTCATTCAATAGAGTGGTACAGAAAAAAGATGTTATGAGCAAGTGGCTATATTTGACCCATTATATAACCATGGCCACTTGATAAAACCAGTGGCCACGACATAACCCTTCCATGGCCCTTATCACACCAAGCAGCGTGTGGCACAGCAGGCTTGCGTGGTGTCGATTTCGCACCGACAGCATACTCTAGTAATCTGAAACTATTGTTCCCATCACTACGAGTGCACATTATATTGCGATGTAGTTTCACAGGGCGTGTCCTCTGTCAACATGCTGGCCATTGTTCCCAGTATAATCTACAATAAATATACTTTTTTAACTTCAAGACTTTTTATATATTTCAGGTTGGGACTTAGTGAGAGCTACAGGAGAACCAGCCATTTTTTTTTGTCACAATACCTTCTATCCTTGGTGCAGGAATCATACAGGGTCAGTTGGGAATTAGTAGAAACAGTGCCGCAACATCATACACACACGTGCGTACTATTCCGGCACTCAACGCCTTTGTGCTTCGTGGTCGTTATGTCGGTCTTGCTCAATAACATAGCAGATGTGCTTCTTAATAGACCTTCACTGGGATGCCTGGTTTCTGTAATTCCCCTACTCCACTTCAATTTTGCCCTTCTTTACTCTCTCTTTTCACGCTCATTTTCACTCAGTCAATTCGGCATGACGAGCGCTTGTTCCCGCGCCCTTTCTGCGCACATGTCAATTCCTTACTTTCTCTTTCTTTGACCAAAGAAAAGCTTAAGAAACAAGCACATGGGCGCTACACAGAAGGCAGCTGCAGCCACCAAGGAAAATGCCCGTGTTGAAAAACTGGTGCCATCCTGTATTGCATGTATTGTTTTAGTTCTTCAATATTCCACCTTCTTTTGATATTGCACTTCATTTTGAAGATTACTCAGAGTGACGGGCAAATCTTTTCCGCCATTTTAACAAGATCTTGGCCTTCTGAACATTCGCGAGATAATTTTGTCATGAATGGAAAACAGTCTTGCGAACACATCTCCCTCGGTCACTCCAGATATGATGTGGCACTCATCATGTTCGGCCAAAAAGAGCAACTATTCATTTTTATCATTGTTTCCTATGACTGTTCCCCTTCCTTCAACTTTGCAGAATCAAGTGCCAGATTGTGGCTACAATGACCATGAAAAATAATTTCGCATGTCGCGTATTACACGTCCCATATCTTGCTCTTGCATGATATGTCTCAGGCACCAATCTATCGCTCACCACTTATTACCATTATTGATGTGACTTGTAGTATCGCGATGGGTCCACGACGCACATGATGATGCCTTCTTCTGGTCCTGAACAGTTGATGGATAGTGATATAGTGAGATCAATATTAAAAAAATATGCCCTTAAAGATTCACATAAAAATTAATTACTGTAGGAGTTATGCGTGCTTCCGCAATGCGACTTGCTGTTAAAATAGGATGTACACTGGCTACAAGCGTTGGGAACGTGTCTTGATGTGCACTTCTTGTTGCTCTTGCGCACGAATGTATCTGGAAAGAAAGGTATTACCATGGCTGAAATTCAGCTCTTCCGCAAACTTCCGCGTCATTTATTGATGGCCTGTGCCAGTTTTCTCATCATCTCTTGCGGAGAGAACTGCGTAGATATGTCGCGTAACCTTACTGCACCCCCATATCTTCATGCATTTCGTATTTCCGACGCATTGCCGATCTAAGAATGCAAGTGATATAAAGTTTTTTTTTAATTTTGAACAGTTCACTAAGCCCCATTTTGCGAATCCATAACAGGAACTGATAATCAGTGTTTTCCGCACTGTATCAAGATTAGTTCAAAAATGTAAAACTTGTGCAACAGCCCATTTTTATTTGCGAATCACTCGCCTAATGCTAAACGGCTTTAACTCTGTCACCTAAAGGAGCCCTGCAACATTTTTTGAGCATGGTCAGAAAACGTTGCTGATTGGTAGTTTAGGCTCCCGACAACACGCGAGCCAAATATTATAACGCAGCACGTGGCCTGGAATTCACAATAAATTATCAAAGTCAGCTAAAAATAACTCTCTGCTCTCGAGAAATTACAGAAAATAAGCCCAGTAAGCCCATCCATCAGCCATTGGCTGATTTGAACATGACGCACTCTGTTGTTACAGAGGCCGTGCGCGATCGCATTGAAAAGCCGCGTATTCGAAGAAAAAAATGCTCAAGGTCACGAGATACAAGTGATGTTTTTTGTTTCCCCCTCTCATCTCTCCCTGCTCAGCTTCCAGCGATTTCATCGGGACGAGAGAAGAGAGAATGTGGTTGCACCGTGTGACAAATATTAATCACTCCGCTGTACTGGACGGGTTTTTAAAATTTTCGCGGCGTTCAGTTTGTGAGGTATTATGCTTTTCCAGTGAATTATTTTTTATGGTTACACAAAAAAGTTTTTCAGGGCCCATTTAAGTATATCAATATATTAAACTTTGCTTGGGCAAATTCACTGTGCTGCAGTGTTATCAATAGATGCTTGGAGCTTTATTTGCCATTGAGCAACGAAAGAGCGTTACGAGAGACTGTAGACAAATGGCTTCAGGTTTTTCAGCAAGGCGGGAACAATAACAATAAGCCAGATATAGAGTGTCGAAAAAGCAGTCAAAACCATTGATTACATATAAAGAATTTACATTAGAAATATTGCAAACGAGTCGATGCGTGTACTTGGGCACTTTACTTGGGCACTGTTTGAAGCTTTCAATGTTTATTACCACTTCTCATTGTTACGTAGTGTTGAAGTAATTGAAACCATCATCAAAGGAAATCATTAGTCGTGATGGGTTACACATGTTTACTTATTTCTTGTGAGATGGTGTTTCCCACTTCCATCAGCTATTTTGACAAGAGGTTTGAATGTTTCCTACGCAGGTTGCACTCGTGCACATGCTTCAAGCCCTAGGGATTCAACCTGATGGTATGTTTGGACATTCGGTTGGTGAGATTGGCTGTGCATATGCGGACGGAGGCTTCACCGCGGAGCAGGTCTTGCTTTGCGCCTACTGGCGAGGCCGTTGCCTAGAAGTGGGCTATACATTCGATGGTGCCATGGCAGCAGTAGGCGAGTGTCGACTTTCTTGCTTGCGGACGCTTTTGAAACGCGAAGCATTTTTTAGCAAACGTCGTCGACTTTGAGCGTATCTATCTATCTATCTATCTATCTATCTATCTATCTATCTATCTATCTATCTATCTATCTATCTATCTATCTATCTATCTATCTATCTATCTATATATATCTTATCTATCTATCTATCTATCTATCTATCTATCTATCTATCTATCTATCTATCTATCTAGCCGCTTACTTTAGGGTGCTCTCGTGGTCACCCCATTTACTTGGCGCGAACCGAAATTAGCTTGAGATGGTAAGATGATTTCACAAATGCGACATGAACAATGTCACAATTCTGTCGCGTACGTCGTTAAACATTTCTCGCCAGACAGTGGCACATACCCACGGGCGGGTATGTGCCGCTGGTTTGCGGGTATGTGCGACAGGTGTTTGACACTGGGTATCTGCTCAAGAACGACGAGAACACACATAGGCAGTTTTAACGCGCGAGTGTTAAAAAATACACGGCGTCGGTGTAGCGTCGACCCAACGAGTCCCAGTTTGAATAAAACCCAAGCATTCTGGGTGCCAATGGAGCATTTCACCACAGAGCTATGCCACGTCTCAAAACTGCTTTTCAAATAGACGCTAATCTTCGTGAAACGCTAATAGGCGTTTCAGTACCACCTGCCCAATCCTATAAACATTACATAAGTACTATTTTGATACAGCCGTCACGTCAGGTTAACGTTAGATGTAGTTAGTTTTCAGGCGCTGAAGTTGATTTATGTAGCAGTGTCCAGGGAAGTATCTTCGCGAGCATCAGCGCTTCATATCAGCTTCTAGTGTTGCAAATACGCATGTTCCAGTAGGCATCGCTGCGCAAGTGCTAACAACTGGTTATATAAACATCTCCAACTTCACAACAAAAATCTGTGTGTGCGGCGTTTGTACAATAATTTAGCGTCATTTCACGACGTGTCACTCAATAGAAAAATTTCAACACGGTCGTCTTTCTTCCGCACGCTTCGCATAATGTATATTCCCAGGTACGTGGGGTCTGCGGAGTCTTTTCTTATACATCTCACTAGAAAAAAATATTATGAATGGCGATTTCGGGGGCTTGTTTCGCTTAGCCCGGCTTTGATGAAAACAAGCTGGTCACGAAATCAAGGAATATAAATAGAACATCAATTTTTCTGCTTTGAATGTACTCTAAAAATTCTGTTGAAGATGAGAAAATAGTGAAGTGTCTGGAGAAAAAATTGCGTGGTCTGCAGAAATCAAAACTGCAACCTTCTTATAACGCACATGATGATCCACCTATCGGTTTAAAGGTGTTCGTCACCCTCTTGTGCATTTTCCAGTATTTGTGTGCGTAGAAAACTGTGTGTTTGTCTGCACACTTCGTGGCCGTGAAGGTAATTTAGGACTATTTGCCAGCTGGTGCCACATCGCATGAGATCCTTTAATGAGCGGAAAGCTAAACACTGACCCGCGACATACTAACCTTAGGCATAAATTTTACGTAAGTTTTACGTAAACCAGACTTAGGTTGTGTAGGGATAAAAAAAGGCAAAGATTACTACGACTTAGTTCATTGTTTGACCCGATCTTAAGGAAAACCAGTGGATAATGAAGCCAGATGGTGTAGGGGACATCATTTGTACTGCTTTAGGTGTGTTGAAGTAAGCGGAATGTGAAGAAACAATATCAATAAACTTGTTACACAAGTATCTTCTTCGGTTACTGTGTTTAACGTACTATCGGCCAAGGTTCAGTAGATGACGTTCAGCTGCAGAGCAGCAATGATGCCGCCTGCAGAAACGACACCGGGTATAGCATACCGATGGGGTGGTATATATTGATCCTGTAAAGCTTTACGTAGTTTTTTAGCATATCAAAATTTAATCATTGAATAATACGAGTAAACCTTCTGCAAGGCAACGAGAAAAAAACAATAAGAGGAAAGCTTGAAATACTTAAACCACGGCCACATACGACAACGGAGCATGTAATGGACACAATGGTATAGCCAGCGACGTGCGGTAATGTTTAGAGACTCTCCGAAAGTATTGAAGTTTGTAGTGTACACGTACTCCGTGGGAGTACAGCCTCTTGCACAGACTCAGCCTTATAGCGTGCCACCGGGCCACGTTCACTGTCACCTCCCGTGACTAACGCCTATGCACACGCGCATTCGGACAGCCAAGGTACCGAGGGCAGTGCGGCAAGTAAGCAGTACACCTGTCAAACAATTCGCAACATTTTATAGCCTGCGCGCGGCAACACCAATATACATAACAGCGGCCACTGCGAAAGGCTGTGGGAAAGTAAAAGAGGCTTAGTCACGCCACGGGCGAAAGCAATACCCTTAGGTTGCCGCGATCAGGTCTCCGCAGGCAAAAAGCTCATGGTGACACGCCGCTACAGAAAACGGTTCCTCGGGACTGTGCTGCTTGCTGTCACATTGAGGAACCACAGAGCCCAATGACTCAAGCGAGGGCAAGCTCCGCTCGCGTTGTCTTTGAAAGGTACAAATCAATCAATCAATTGATTGATTGATTGATTGATTGATTGATATGTGAGGTTTCACGTACCAAAACAACCATATGATTATGAGAGACGCCGTAGTGGAGAGCTCCGGAAACTTTGACCGCTTGGGGTTCTTTGACGTGTACCCGAAAGGTACGAATCGACGTAGCAAAGCCACCAGCGAACACGCCAAACTGCTCTTCGGCCTAGCGTTCAAAAGGGGCAACAAAATATAAGCGTTCTCCACGGGAACGAGGCACCGTTGGTAAATTATGCCTAAACAATACTTACGCATAGACATCATAAGCCTCGTAGGCACACAAAATGTCTCAATAGTGAAAGCGAAAATGAGTTCCGCCAGTGAAAATATTCAGGAACACTGGTCTGGGGTTGTGTTATTTGGAAAGTATAAATTCGTGGAAAAGGACACGTGACAGCTTTGACCTCATCAGCCTCTACCAGTGTAATTTTTAGTGCTATTCGCGCATGGCACACCCTTGTTTTACCCAAACTTGCACGCCATTTAGCACCACTGGCAGTATATATCGATTGTACAATTCCCTATTTATCAACAGCAGTAATTCGTCCTTGTTCCTTGGGAAGGCCTGTCGTAAACATTCTTAGCCGTCCTTATTTTTGGGATGGTTGCTTTTTCTGTGGTTGGCTCCCATGTCAAGAATTCTTTCAAGCGTACATATTTTTGAACATGCTGCAAAGGTAGGTCACTTATGCCGAAAACAGCTTGCCCCGTGGAACATGCATGCGAGGTTGGCTGAGTTGTCTGCGGCATCTCATTTTGGAGTCAGGCTTCACTTTTTGAACTCCCGATCACACGACAATATTTGTTAAAATGTATAGCCATACCTTTGCGAGTACAATGCAACATGCCGGCCACGTAAATGCGCCTGTTCTTTACCGCCTCAAATTCTGGCACTTCACCTCCCCCTAACTTTAATTTCACGCTCCTTCCGGGAGGATGTGTGTACCAGTTAGGAGACTAGCGGTTGTGAACAGCAGCGTGACTGCCAGCTGCTTTGAACCAGCTGCACCCATCTGCGCGGTGTCTTTCTCAATCGCCTTTAAGTGAAACTGTCTCTCTTGCCCTCTCTGGTGAAGTTTCCGCTAAGTTACGATGAGTATTAAATAACATTGATTTTATTGCTTTTACGCTCACGGGTCCATTGCGGAGTTCCGAAGAAATAGGTCATCACATGCACATAAAAGATACACATACCTATTGAGATAGAGAGAAATGCAGAGAAAAGGCACAGAGGTTAACCGAGGTTTGGCTCGTTGACTACCGCACACTTGGGGTGAGAAAAAGAGCAAATGAAAGAAAAGGAAGAAAAGAGAAAAAAGAGTAAGAAAGAGATAAATAAACAGCAGCGAGCTTCAAACTACATCACACGGCCTCACGTTCCTCATTCACAAGCGTTCGTGAAGACCGGTGGTCCTAAAGAAGCACGAGAGAGCGTTCGTGGTTTTGCGCATATGTGAGAATTTAGGTCAAGGTTCAAGGATCTTCCTCATTTGTGAAGCATTTCTCGGCGAACTTCGGTGAATCTATCTATCTATCTATCTATCTATCTATCTATCTATCTATCTATCTATCTATCTATCTATCTATCTATCTATCTATCTATCTATCTATCTATCTATCTATCTATCTATCTATCTATCTATCTATCTATCTATCTATCTATCTTCTATCTATCTATCTATCTATCTATCTATCTATCTATCTATCTATATATCTATCTATTGATCTAGCCACCTACGACTTTTAGCTCTCCTGGCTGTTTGGATAATGATATCGATACCAAACTTGGTAATACATAACATGGCTATGTGACAAAAGTAACTAACTAATCATCCAATTAAAATCATGATATCCATGCCATAAACGTCATCAATTACATTTCATGGTCTTGCCGCTTTTGCGGTGTTTTCATTCACATGACACGTTGCAAAACTGGTATCCTATGACATGACTGCATGGCAAACACAAGCGACAGGCCCAAACAAATTTATGACATCCGCGTCACCTAACAACATGGCTACATGCCACACTCATAATGTGCTCGTGGCCGTTTCGGAAGCACTACATAGACCAAATTTGGTATCACAGTACGTGAATGGATGACGAGGTATGTGATTGGTGCAAACATGATAATCATGATACGCGTGTCATGTAACGACATGACTACATGCCACGCTCATGATCCACTCACGGCCGTTTTGCTAGTTCCACATACACTAAATTAAGTATTACGTGACTTGAATTGACTAGAAATGTAAATGACTTGTCCTAACATATATTCATGATGCGGATGTCGTGTTTAACATGATTACATGCTACGCTCATACCACGCTCGTGGCCGTTTCGCCAGCTCCATGTATGCTAAACTTGGTATCAAGTGATGTTATTAGATGACGGAGGTAAATGAAACGTCCAAACATAATAATCATGACACAGAAGTCATGTATGGAACATTTTACCTCCGCCTCATAACGCTGTGCTGATTTTAAGGTAACCTATGAACCTTCTTCATTCGTGCTTCACATATCTGCGATTCCCACTGAATGTGACATCTATCAATTTTTTGTATAGTGAAAGTACGTTCGTCTGTATGGAGTGTTCTATTAAAATATTACTTTGGGTGAGTTCACGCATATCTTAGCGAAAGATTTGTGCAGCGAAATAATTAGAAGGCGTGATGGATGCTAGTATTGTATTCTCTCACTTACTTTTTTCTTTAGGAGGGTTTATCCAATTCTTATCAGCATGCGCAAGGAATATTTTTGTGGTGCATCAGGGCGTACACAGCTTGCGCGTTTTCTTGACAACAGAATTTGAGCCAGTTTCTTATGTGGATTAGCCAAGTGTTGCTATTTTTGTAAATAATCTGTGGCCAATTGTACTTCTACAGGTCTCACTTGGGAAGAGGCCAAACGACGCTGCCCTCCTGACGTATACCCTGCTTGCCACAACGCGGAAGATTCGGTGACAGTTTCCGGCACAGCTGGCGCGGTAGAGAAAATGATTGAGGAACTGCAAGCCCAGAACATATTTGCACGCAAAGTGAACAGCCTTGGAGTGGCTTTCCACACCAAGCACGTCCACAACATCGGTCCTGCTTTTCGGGAAGCTCTAGAAAAGGTAAGTTGACAACAGAATCAAAATTCTCTGATAAACTACTGGATACATTTTTAACTGAATATTCGTCTGGCTTATCTCAAAATGAGCAGCCTCACAGTTTTGTTTGGAGACACCGGAAACTGACTATTGTTAATGAGAAAGCGCTGTGTGCCTACGTATGCGAAAATGCATGCGCGCCCGGTGTTCAAAAACTGCGTTGTTGGATTACGTGTGATTTCTTCCACGAGGGATATTTACCCGCATTATTATCCTGCTCAGACTAAAAATTCAGTGCCATTTTTAGCGAGTACATTTAGGCTCCAACAATTTTACTTTGGTGGTGCGCATGCACACGACATAAAAAGCACATTGGGGAAATGACAGTCAGAGAACATTCATGCGCGCGCCAGCTCCACACAGAGGCGGCGTGCGCATGAAGACTCCCTAATTATGATAATGTCGGTGGGTGAACTTGGAGCGCTGGATCACGTTCCTTATTTAAGATACTGATTTAAATAATCATCAGCAGCAGCCTGACTACGTCCACTGCAGGACAAGGGCATCTCCCTTGTTCCGCCTGTTGACTCGGTCGTGTGCTTGCTGCTGCCACTTAATACCCGCAAACTTCTTAATCTCATCTGCCAACCTAATTACTTTCTGTCTCCCCCTGACCCGCTTGCCTTCTTAGGAAATCCCGTCAGTTATCCTCAATGACCAGCGGTTATCCTGCCAACGCGCTACATGTCCGACTCATGTCCATTTCCTTTTCTTGATTTCAACTGTGATATTCTTGACCCCGGTTTGTTCCCTGATCCACTCTGCTCTCTTCTTGTCCCTTAAGGTTACATTAATTATTTTTCTTTCCATCGCTTGGGTTTTCGTCATCAATTCAAACTAAACCGTATTTGTAAGCCTCCAGATTTCTGCTCCGTAAGTGAGTACCGGCAAGATGCAACTGTTATATACCTTCTTGAGGAATTGTAGCACTCTACCTGTCAAGATTTGAGAGTTCTTGCTAAATGTGCCTCCCCCCCCCCATTCTTATTCTTCTGATTACATCAATCTCGTGGTTCGGCACTACGGTTATTACCTGTGCTAAGTAGACGTAGCCTTTTACAACTTCAAGTACACTATTACCTATCTCAAAGCACTGTTCTCTTCAGAGGTTGTTTTATATTACTTTCGTCTTCTACAGATTAGTTTTAAGACCTATCTTTATGCTCTCCTTGTCGAATTCAATAATCATGCATTGCAATTGTTCCCCCGAGTTATTCAGCAATGTAATGTCTTTGGCGAGGCGCAACTTACGGAGGTACTCTCCAGTAACTTCTATCCCTAACACTTTCCATTCAAGGTCTTTGTCATTCTGCCCTCAAACTACACGTTGAAGCGTGCTACTAAGTTATACGGCTGATAAAAAGCGCGTCTGGGTCTGCTTTTTTTTTTCCTCTGATATATGGGGGGGGGGGGGGGCGCTCCTTTTGCACGTGTTTCAGTGCTCGATCGGCTTTGACGCCCTTCCCTAGCAGGCGAACGTTGTGTCTAGGCTTTTTTTAATATCCTTGTTTTGCACGTGTTTCGGCGTATGGTCCGCTTTGACGTGCCAAATCTCCATGCTGCTGCTGCGTGTGTTAGGCACTTGCGGTAGCTGTATTCTCGGGCCTTCTGTGATCAGCCAGCGCTGCTATTTTATTATCTGCATATGCTAAAACAAATCACTGTTTTGGTTTGGTTAAGTTTAGCACACAGAACCAATAATAATTATCTGGCCCATGAATACCAATGTGGGCGGCATGCATATTTGTGTGTGGTGTCCTTCACGAGATTAACCGTTGCGTGACGAGTGCATTTACAGCGGTTCCTTCTTCCGTTGCTCCCTTACAAATTTAAGACTAATACAGTTCCTCCCCCGTTTTCGAACATGCCGGCCATTTTGTTCCGCTTGGTCCTTTCGGGGAGCAACAGTTGGTCTGAAGGAATAAAAACGGCCGCCACACCCATTTTGGCCATTTTTGGCTTAGAGAGTGTAGCATTTATCGCGCTGCGCTGACAGTGCAACGTGAAGATCAAAAAGGTAAGTGTTTCCAACGCTTTTCTACCATGACACGGTGATGAAACCTGCCCGTTGCTTTGCGTTATACACCTTATCACCTCCGAGACAGGAGCGCAACTTTCTCCGTGGGCGTGCATGCCTACGTTTTCGAAGATTACTGCCAGATGGTGCTCGTGTCTAACGTGCCTCGGTGCGCTCGTTCGTCTTCGCTACACGATCGAGGCACTGTAACGCGGCACCTTCAGAATACCATTCACCAATTTTCTTGCGCAGAACATTAAACAAATGTTTTGTTCACTCTCTCCAGACGCAAGACTATCGTCTTTTCACGACATTTGCAGTGTAACATGCAGATTCGGGGCCAGTTTTTTTCTGCTGCTATTGACGACCTCAATTCTATCAGTACCAACCATCGCCCATTTATTCGTGTCTAAAGAGCACTAACTTTTTTCTGTCTGGATAATTTGTTGCAGTAAGCGTGCTTATTCATCACCACTAGCAATACATACAGGTATTTGAATTCAGAAAGAATCGCAATTCTTTCGCATCACCTCCTTTTCTTTTTTTTTTTGCGCAGATTATACCCGAACCAAAGGCACGCACCAAACGCTGGATCAGCACATCCATGCCAGAGAGCCGGTGGGATGAACTTGGAGTGCAGCTATGTTCTGCCGAGTACCACGCAAACAACTTCCTAAACCCAGTGCTCTTTTGCGAAGCCTTCAAACATGTACCAGAGAATGCCATCTTAGTGGAGATTGGACCGCACTGCCTTTTGCAGGTGAGTGACACACCGGAATGATTCCTGCGGCTCCCGTCACACGATAGTAACTCACCTGTGTCATTAGAAATGAATGATTAGCTGGACGGCTCATCACTACCCCTGAAGGTGTATGCCTAGCATACTGTAGTAGCGCCGAACTCGAGAAGCAAAGGAAATAGAAGAAGCAGAGGGAAACAAAAGAATGGTGGTGTATCAAATGAGGAGCTTCTAACCTCCCTATCTGTGTTTTTTTTAATTTTGAATATCGCATTCCAAAAATCGGTTCAGCAAACAGAATCTTGCCCACTAAAATTCATTCTTATAATTTTGTCTCATCGATGCCTAGGCTATTTGTCCCTCTATAAATTAACATGAATCCTTTTAATCGTACGGGACGGGCTATCCCGACAGCGCTGATGCTGTTGCTAGTGCAAGGAGCTCCGTCATCTGCTTGTAGCATGACTGAGCTCTTCGTCCCTGCCCAAGGTGGCAATTTAAATGATTTCGTAGCGCAAGACTATTCAGTTGCCTTTCCAACAGGCGCGTATGTTCCCCTTCACCTCGAGAGGTGTATCGGGAAGGGGAGGACGTATAATTTCACAATGCGAATATAGTTGTTCCTTTAGACATGAAAACACTAGCATTTTGTAGTTTTGTAGCCCTAAGTGGGAAGGTTGTTGACACGTAGTTCGTTTCAGCATCCTAAACACCTACAAGCCCTGGGTCGGATGTATGCCATTCAATCGGAATGAAACGTATTGAAAGTTTCAACAACAAAGCACCACGTCAAGAAACAACGCCCTATGTCCAATGTCATCACTGACTCACCCTGCTTCCTTGCTATCACCTCATCGCTGCGCTTCTCTTCTTTTGTACTCTATATGCTGCATGATGGTCTACAGGTGCGAATGACTGGATGAGTAAGCCAGCGAGGGTATTAAAGCTGCACTTTAAAAAGTAGAGTCAGTGTGGCCTAGTGGTACCCAATTTAACCACGCTCAGCCACGGCAGTTTTTCTTTTCGGCACCGTTTCTAGGGCCCGCATTCGGGTTTTACTCAAAAAAATTGCCCGGTCGTCATTGCATATCTAACGTTGTTGTCACGAAGGTACCAATTTAGATACATATACTGCAACTAGCTGTCTGAGGGGCTAGTTCACCTGTTCGAGCCGGTGAAAAGGTAGTGTCGGAGGATAGACACAATTCTAGAAACAAAAATTGGCCCCGTATCTGCATGTTTAACTGCAAATGTCATCGAAAGACGATAATAATCAAGAAAGTAAATCAAGAAAGTAAAGAAAACATTTGTTTGATGTTCTGCACGAGAAAATCAGTGACGCACTGCGTTAGAGTGTGTTGACCCGTGCAGTGAAGGCGAACGAGTGCATCAAGGCACGTTAGACACGAGGGCTATCTGGCAGTCATCTTCGAAAACAAAAAAGGTGTGCGCACCTGTTTCGAAGGCGATAAGGTGAAGAACGCGAAGCGACGGGCAGGTGCCAGCATTATGTCGTCTTAGCTAGAGTTACTGCATATGCTACCTTTAGCTACTTGAAAGTAGCATATACAGTATCTCTAGCTCTAGATGAGTGTTACGCAAGTGTACCGATATTACCCCTTGGCCCTTCACCTGCCTGCTCTCAACCCCGTTGAAGAACGCCTGATTGCTGAACATCTGCCATTTATGAGTGTTGGAGATATGACTCACAGCAGCGGCCAGTATGACCTAAAGGGAGTGCTGGTTAACGTCCTGATCGACGTGGCTAACACTGTGCGGTGGCGGTCACGGAATGTGCCCGACAGCGCTGCCTTCGACGTACTGTACACATGATGCGCCGGCTCGTGACACTTTCCTACAGGAATGGCCTCACCAAGAAACGCCTAATGCACTTGCAAGCAAGTTCTGTAACACCCACCAATTTGTGCATATGGTGGTGATTTTTTTTTTCATTTGCTTTGTTTGTGCATGGACAGCATTTGTATAACATTAATACTAGGATAATCCACATTCGTGGGGCACTGCTACGAGCTTCTTGCCTTGCAATCACTTGCCGGGGCGCCTTTCCTTCTCCTGTGGAAGACAGTCGTTCTAGCAGGTTTCGGCTCAAATCGCAAGTACTCTTTTTTGGCGAATATACGCACTATACACACAATTAAAATTGAGGGTTCTGAGTTACTCTCAATATTTTTACGTTTTATTTCATGTTAGCTATGCACACAAACCTAAGAAGAATAATTAAATAATAAATTGACTGAGAACTGAAGCGAGAATACCGAACAAGTTTTTGAACTAAAAGTAGTGACATATTTGAGGGTCCGTATTATGACAGGGGATGGGATACGTCGGCACTGATGAATTGTGCGATGAATGAACGTAAGCATGAGACACTAAAGACTTTCCCTTAAAAAATCGAGAAGTGAAAGCAAAACTGCAACGCTGGCAGTTATACAGTGGACAGGCGAGGGAAGGGGAAAAACGCTACTTTTGCAGCCTTAGTTGGCAGCACAAAAAGCACGGCCGAGCACATGTGGTGGATTCGGAAAGGTATTCGGCTGAGACGTGAGGAAGAGAGAATGATGACAAAAAAATGCCGGTAATTATAGATGACATGGTGTGTGGCTTTTACAGTCAATTGTTCAGTCAAGCTTTCTGAAGCAGGCGAAGGACCACATTGAAAATTGTGTGTGAGGCTGGGCAATGGAGGTTCTTATGTGTAGCCGAAGGTAGACGCCCGTGATTGAGAGTGGCGAGCATGGCGATTTTGTTGGATGTTCTGGGCACAGAACACTACCGTGTAGAGAGTGTCAAACAGAAAAAAACGTAGAAAATAGAACAGCAAATAGATATACCCGAAAAAATTCAGATTGCCATTAAGAAAATAACACAACAGAATGAAAAATGTCACAAAACCCCACAAGAAGAGAATTTTGCTCAAAGGATTAGACACAGAAAAAAAAATGAAACATATAAACACGGCATTAACCCAAGAAAACATAAATGACTCAATCCTCGGCAGTCCATTGTGCTTTCACTTACAGCGCAATTCGCATCGATTTTCTTCTGAAATTTACGAAAAACTGTCAACTTCCTTTAGCGAGCGGCGTAACCTATTCGTCTCAATAAGTATTTTTTGCTGTCCAGGTTGTTCATTTTGATATTCGTAAATGCAGTACACAATACATTGTCCAAAATAAAGACAGAAAAAAGGATTACAATACAAAAAGTGATCTTTTTAATTGTGTTCTTGATTGAACACCTTGTTATAGTGGTTATATCGTGCAGTACCATTACAAAATCATTTGCACCGCATTCTTGCAGGTGACTGGCAACCTGTTAGCAGCGTTTTGAAAGTGTTTTCAAAAATATTTTGGCTCCACTCAAATTTGTTGGCTTGCGCACAATTTGATTGTTTCAGTCGATCCTCCAGCGAGGTGTTGGGCCTGAAGCCACCTGCATGGGCCTCATGAAACGCAATGCAGACAACATCCAGCACTTCTTGGGTTCACTGGGGAAACTTCATAGTCTGGGAGTGAAGATGGACTTGTCTGTATTGTACCCTCCTGTCCCGTGGCCCTTGCCCCGCGGTACGCCCAACATCGGCCACCTGGCCGCCTGGGACCACTCTGAAACTTGGCACGTAGCGAAATGGGACGATTTTCCTACGCCGGATGAGGTAATGTAGCCTAGAGTGCATTACCACCCATTGTTCCACGTTAGGTGCATAAGCTATATAATGCTTGCTAACTTGCTTGTTTACGTCACAATGTTGTAATTTCAGTTGTTACGGAGAATGCTCCGTAAGATACAGAAAACTCAGAAAGTTTGGGCGTCTCCGATGTGAGGCGCTGAGCATTTAGAACAATTTTACTAGCTTAGAGTTGAGCCTGCTTCAGTAATGCTTATGAAAACTATCGTGCTGCTTACCCAAAGCGTAACTTGTGAATGTAATGTCAATAATGCTTCAATAAATACCCTCAGTACGTGATTGGTGGAAGGACCAAGTTCTTTTTCCTGATTGAACGCTATACATGAAATCTCACAAACATTGAGGGTTTGAATGCGCCTGGTACTGAAAACAGTAATTATCTTCATCATGAATACGTTCGTGCTTGCCTCGTCATTTTCAACTTTTGGTTCACTCTTACAACACATTGTTTGGTTCGTAGGCCATGGAACGCTAAAACTACATGAGCTAGTATGTGACGTGACAGAAAATCACGTTTCATGATGTGGCTGGTTCCGTGAATGCAAATACCATAACAGCTGGTCACGTTACAAGAACAAGTCACATCAGGTAACATTTAGGCATGAAACTAAAAATGCCGTCATATCACGAGAGAAGAAAACAAGGGACGAATATCAATGTAACATTACGTGACAACCAGCCGGGTGATGACTAAAATCACGTAAAAACTAGTCACTTGATTCAGGTCACACAACATAGCGTAAAATTTCGTAACGGGTCATTATCCCGTCCTAAACCACGTAATAACTACTGACATAAAATAAACCAATAGCACAACGTAACAGCTATAGTTCCGGGACACGTTTTCATCAAAACCAAGTAACAACTAGTCATGTGATTAACTCGCCAAACAGAAGTTGTCACGGGACATGCTTCCGTCAAAACCACGTGGCACGTGCGTAGTGTGAGTAACCAACCATATCCGGAGAAGAAAAACCAATTTCATCAATACAGTATTACAAGCCAACACTTGACATATCATGCAACAACTTGGCAATACTATGCAAACTTCGCTAGACCTAAGACTAACTTAGATGATGGATCTAGCTCTGTGCCATTAAAGCAATTTAGCGCACTTTTGTCTTTATACGCATTATGAGTTAGGAAGCTTTCGAGGTGCGGCAATACCTGTTCATACTTAGTGACTGCTGCTATGACTTTGCAACACTAGAGAAGGTTTTGCAAGACCTTGTCGGTGGAACCGTTTGCACACAAGTGATGCAAACAAAAATTTAGGGTTGATCGAACGTCACGTGATAACGAAGTGGATGCGTGTGCGTAGTTGGCAGACTAAACGTTACATGACGTCAGTGTAAAATGGCGCCATCAATGACGTCACTATGATATGTCATAATGCATTTGGTGAAAACCTGATTTCCAAAACTGCAGGCAAAAATATTGTAGGCCCATGTGCTCAGACTTGGGTGCACGATAAAAAGCCGAGGTGATCGAAATTCTGAAGCCCTTGGCTACGGCGTCTCTTTTAATCATATGGTGACTTAGGGGTGTTAAACCCCACATATCAATCATCATCTGATTACCGACACCTGAAACCTTCGTTTGCCTCTTGTGCTGCTGTTTGAATATTCTTTTCTTGGACAATAGTTCATCGAATAAGACGCTTCAATTTCACCAGAAATGTTTTGATTTTTTTAGCACTACAACCACGTTGCAACGAATCGTCCGATTCTGCATCTGCCGCTTGATTTCCATAATCTTTTGCTGGGTAGGCGGAAATAGCCTGCTATGTGTTATTCCTCTTCCGGCGAATTAATACGTACCTGTAAACGTTTCCAATGCTTTGTGGCAAAATGTTGGCATTACAAGTTCAGCTCCACATAACGATTTCTACAGTAATGTCAGAACGTTACTCACTGAAGTTTGAATTATATGGCTTTGAACGTCATAATATTTTTAACCGTTCTTCCAGTTACGAAACTCGATCTGTGCATTTTCATTCAAAACGCATGTAATGCTTCCTTTGGCTGGTACGTACCAAGTGAAGACTTTGGTTCTGATTTATATTAACAGTTGTCTTATCGCATTAGCTTCACGACATGTATAGAAACCTAATTGGTATTGTGAATTCAACTCATAGTAATTAAGCTCTGTTATATTCGTGTGCGCACAAAGAAAAGTACGAAATAACTGCTTTCCTCATGTTTAACAAAGGCACATACGTGCTAATGCGATAAACCTTACTGGCGTTCCAGAAATATTTTAGCATTTTGCTAGTAGTTGCGTGTATAATTGCGACCAGTGACCCGGAAAGGCATGATATACCTTTCGGACATCTCACGCCGGATGAGAGCATTCCGTCATTTCTTATGATATGATGCAGCTATCTGAAAAACAATGATAGTTTAGGCTGAAATTGTTTCATATATATTATGAACTTCTCCCCCCAATGTGTTATATAAGCTGACACCAATACTTCAAATGCTTCAAATTGTAACCGTGTATTTTCATTGGAATGTCGTCTCACTATCTGCAATGCAGAGTGATATTTGTCTATCTGAAAACCTTTTATGAATCAGTGTAGTAGTGCAGATCTTTCAGCAACAGTTAATACTCAAACGTAAAGCCCATATCACAGTACTATTTTAGCCCCAGTTGTGAATACTATTCCAAAGCGATAGTATAAAAGCTGAATATTTTTTTTCGGCCACCTCATGCGAGTGGCATGTGCACTTCAAGCGTTTTTCTAGTGAAGGTAGTATCTGCACTTTCAAACGTGTAGTGGCCCGCATGAAGTAAATGAAGGGCTTGTTTGTTTCAATAATGATTACTCTGCATGTAGTGCATGTTTTCATGTTGTTTTATATATTTTTTCTGCAAAATATATGTATTGTGACTGCGTGTTGCTGGACTGTAACATTCCAGGAAACTCAGTCAAGCACTTCAGAGTTTTTCCTTCTTTTGCCCTATACTCTGTGAAGTGCCAAATATATTAAAACGAAAGGAGGGAAATGTATTGTTCAAGAAAATGAAAAGTATCAGAGAAAGGGAATGGCTTAGCAAAAGGTAGCTAGCCAGTGTCTTGATGTCTACAAAGATATCTGTTTATAGCTTAAAAACTTAAATAATTAGGTTTGAATTGTAGTTACAAACTCTCTTATCACGCATTTTAAGACAATATACGATTGGGAATGGTCGGGCATATTTGCATTTCAACGAAATTTTGTTATTGCATACTAGACTGATGCGCTATGTCCAAGTACAGGGTTCTGTCGCACAGTCTTAGCACTGCAGAATACCACCTTCTGCTTATCAGCTCTCAACTTCACATTACTCGTAGCTCACCTGGCCTTCTCTGAACTGTCTGTAACTCCGTATTTAAGTAAAAAAAAAGAGAGAGATCAGTGTGTCACAAAGAACGAGGAATTCGACATCACTTACCGGCAGGATATCTTTTCTGCAGAGGGAAGTCTGGACGAGTTTTGTGTACTGTCATGATGGTGACATTCGGCTCTAGGTCTAAGTGTAAGATCGTACGATGTGCTACAGTGCAGTTCTATCAATTATAGATTCAATATTTCGCCTTAAGGAAATAGGAACTTACTGCCCCGCCCGTATATACTGAATGCCACACAATGATATTAGGTGCAAAAGCATCGAATAATATTCTTGCGTGCCACCATCCACTGGGAGCGAAAACAAATGCAGGTAAAAACTGAGCTTTACACCACGTAGCATATCGGCTAATATTTATTAACTATAAGAGAGCACACACCTAAGTGAAAAGCATGTGAAGGCAAGCCGTTTTCAACTATATCAATAAAATTATACTAATCCACAATTTAAACATCTTGAGTGGCGTGATACAATAAAAAGTATGCACCAAGTGGCTGAAGTGCGCAATAAGGGGGAAAATTTGCTATCAACTTTAGCAGAAAAGCTCGAGTGTTTCGAAACGTTTTACTGCACGCTAGAGGTGGGCAAAGGGACTCCAAAAACTTTTGACCGTCTGGGCTTAGGGTATTCAGGTCGAGTTCAGATAATTTTTCTGAAGGTAACTACGATGGGGCGTGTACGCGCACGTTTTATTTCATGAAAAAGGCACCGAAGGCTTTATATGAGGTACTATGAATGTGATGAACTTGCAGGGAAAGGACGATATCACGGAAGTGGACATTGAATCTCACAGCGAGGACAAGTACCTCGTTGGTCACCAACCTGATGGGCGTATCGTGTTTCCTGGCTCTGGGTACCTGTACCTTGCTTGGCGGTTTTTGGCCAGACTTAATGGCAAGGATGTTAACGAGGTGCCCGTAATCATCGATGACGTGAAAATGAAGCGTTTCACGATCCTGCCTCCTACTGGTGAGGAATTGTTCTTACTTGTGTCTTCATTTGTGCAAATAATGGATTAACTCTCAGTTAATGTGGAGCTTTGAATACAGTGGGGAAAGCAACAGCAGAGAGTCAGAATGAAAACTGATACACTCATTGCGCATTTGCTTTCACACCTTCATTGACTACGATGTCAGTTGGTTTCACAAGTTCTTGATTTGCGAAAAAATTAGCACTTGATCTAGTAAAGTTACGTTCCTTAACACATAATTTATTACTTTTTAAAATAGGCGGATGTTCACCCGCATGTGGCAAATCGTTCCTTTGTCGACTTGTTTCTCAACAATTAGAAAATCTTACTTCTGTCCCCTACACCACTGATTGACGTCATTGTGAGTAAGACGCATCAAGCTGAATCCAACAAAGAGTAGCTGCCCTCTCTCCATTCTCTATGTTGCAAACTTGAACATGGCTGCAAGATACAAATAACCGAAAAGGTGAAAGCATATTTCAGAACACGCGAAAGGCCTTCGTCAGGGCATGCCCTGAACTAAGCTATTGTAATGTATAACGTCATTAACCCGCTCGATATTATTCATTCGATGATGTTTCCTGGGACTCAGTTCCGAACTCACTGGCACTTCCAGGTGGTGTCCGATTCCAGATCACCGTGATGCCGGTCTCCGGCGAGTTTGAAGTGTGCGAAAGTCGATCAGTGGTCTGTAAAGGCCGTATTCGTCTAGCCGAAGCAGGTGAAACGGTGCTGCTCAATGATCCTCCTGGAAACCCTGCAGAAGACGTTGAGTTCGATATGAGTTGTGTGGACATTTACAAGGACCTGAAAATGCGAGGATATAAGTTCACTGGAGCATTCCAGGGTACCCTAAAGGCTTCCTCGCAGAGTAAGCACGAATATTTGTTAACTATACAAACTGCTGAAAATATGCAAAGTCACGATCAGATACTTTCGAAGTGATTTCGTCTGAATGTAATTTTTATGAAATATAACATGCACGTTTTATCTAGAGAACCAGCACAATAATCACTTTTGCTCAAGCATTGATTTGTGCACTTGAGTTAAAGAAGTTCATTTACTTTAGAAAAAGCATTCGCAGGTACACGGCGCTATGCCCCAGTGTGTATCTCTGGCTCTTGCTATTACTGCATATTAAACAAACTTATGTCCTAACAATGCTTTCTAGAGCACAACACATTGTCGGTAGTGTTTGTGAGCCGCTCAGTAAATTCATCCTTGCGATTAGGCATGGACGTCTACTACACCAGTATAATGAACCAAAGCTTTCCTGACTTGAGCGTGTATTTTTCAGAGCCATACGCGAAACTCAAGTGGGATGGCAACTGGGTGGCCTTCTTGGACACAGTGATGCACATGAGCTTCATCTGGAAGCCCGTAAGGGCGTTTACGCTACCACTTGCGGTACAGTCAATCCGCATCGACCCCATTCTCCACGCAAAGATCGCCGAGGGGACCGGAGATGATGGTACGCGATGTTCTCGTCAGTTTATGCGTACGTGATACAGATATGACAAGGACAGTTTCGCGACGTCGTTAGGGGGAGTCAGGTAACAGAAACTAATGCCCGCCATGCTGAGGTGTTCTGAAATCTGACAACAGTCACTGCGCAAGGATAATTTCATCGCTGTCTGTAATTTAGGCATAGGGCCTCTATTTGGCCCACTTGGTTCATAACTGCCTGGACCAAATCGGCGTAAAAACGAAAATACCAAGATGGCAGAAAGTTCTAGACGACTTCTCAATATTGAACCAATACGTTATGACATCAACAACATGGTCTTGCGTGTTCATAATACCATCTCAAGTATTCAAGCAAAACTGCTTCACCAAAGCACAGTAAAATCGGGTCTACTTTTTAACGGTGCAGTCACAGTGTGTTGGAATGCAGGTTGCATTCAGTCACGCTCACTCACTAATATGGCAAGAAGAAAACAGACAAAAAAAGCCTTATTAGCGTGAAATTAAACATCAACGCCAATACTACGAATGTAGAGGATAATTTTTCGGAGACACTCGTCTTTGCAAAGGCAATAATGGATGCAATGTGAATGCATGATAGCAAATATTTATTAACGAAAATACCATAAACGAATGACCGCTACGAAAAATTTGAAGTATCATAAAGGGCGGAATTCTTAAATGCTCATCTTTGAAAGTTGTGCGAAGCCCAAAACTAAAGAAGAACAACAAAAAATCGCAACAGCTCCTGTTTATTTTTCCAAGCGATCTGCGTCACGCTCACATCGCGTAACAAATTGAAGTTTGCCTGAGTGTAATACCTGAACGTCAGCGTCTTCTAATTTGTTTTTGCGGCATTCACGTGAGTAAAAAATCAAAATATACATATTATAAAAACTTGCTTTGGAGGAAGGAAGGAAGCACACAGGGAGGAGACCTAAGAACAAAGATAAGAACTTAAAAGTAGTTTTTCTTGGGCCAGTTGGTACAATTATTTCTCTTTATTTATTTTTACTCACTTACAAACCTATTTATTTATTGTATTTATCCATATCATAATACCTCACAGGCCCCGGAATAGGCATAAGGTGAGGGGTGCATACAGTACAGTACAATCCCTTAAGTACGCGTATTACAATAACACAAAATTTTGTGCAGTAGTAAACACAGATTGCAGTTACAGTACATAAAATAATACAGTTAAATACAATTGCGTCATTATGCATCATTTAATAATATGAAAAGCTTGTGACAATGCTCTTAAAAGACAACATATGAAACATTCTGCACAAGAGATTAGAAAAGGCGTCTCTTATAATCATATGGTGGTTTTAGGACGTTAAACCCTACATATAAATTATTCAAGAGATTAGAAAAGGGACATATAAAGGTGAGAAAGAAAGAAAGAGATCAAGAAATCCAGCATATAAACGGAGTGGATGATGATGAGTGGGGCGAAGCGCTGGAGGGTTTCATCGCTAAACAGTGAACTATCCGCGAATATTGCCCACTACTTCATCAAAGATGTGACAAACACTGTATGTATTTATACAAAAAATTTCATTATTTATAAATAGTAGCTGTAAATTGCTTCTATTCCTCTTCTTTAAAACGGCTTCTTTATCGGTGAAGTGGCGGATTGGTGTTGGGGCGTAGTGGGACTTTTGTAAGGATGAAGTAAGTGGCAGTTTGCAAAGGTGGAACTATAAGCCGTCACGTACAAACAAGGGACGAACGCAGTTTAATGAATGGTTCTTTAACGCACACCCGGATACAAGTGCACTACCATCTGGCATTTTATATTGGCTACTTCTCGACAGAACTTCCTTTATGGTGGGTGAATTGGTGGATCGGTGATGGGGCGTAGGGGAGTGTTTTCAAGGAAGAAGTAGTGGGCAGTTAACAAAGGTGGAACTCTAGGTGGTCACGTACATACATAGAAGGAATGGACTGACCCACGTCAATGCTCAGGGTCGATGGAAGAATCTACTGGGAAAGTTAGATCTCACAAATGCTGAGTAAAGGACGTATATTTAAGGAATAGTGTTGGCGAGCTGGTAAATAATGGCAACTTTAGACGAACAAAACATTTTTACTCATTCGCGTAAATAGTACAATTGGCATTTCCTCAATTTATTGCAACTGAATAAAGAGAACGTGGCTTCACATTTGAAATAGAGAAACTTATGTAGAGCCTTGAAATTTTCTTGTTAATACCACACGAGTGTGGCCTTAACGACAGAATTGTTCCACAAGTGTGAGAGAAGCAACGCGTAACGATACGATGGTCGTTGTCACAAACGCTTTCCAAACACAAGATGGCTCAGATGCGGCTGGCATGTGCATCCAGTCTAAGCAAACAGCTATCTAAGCATCCGCTTCATGTAGTGAATCTACCTAAATGTCGCCTGTATTTGATGCCCCCTGGTGTAAGAGTACGCTTCCGCAACAATATTTAAAAAAAATTGGCTGCTTTTTAGAATGCCATATTATTCTGAGACATGATGCAGGGGACATAAAGATAGATTTTTTAAACCTGCAATGCGGTTTTGGCCCTGTGAAATGTTTTCTCAGCTTTTGAATATTATAGTTTTATTTTGTCTAAATTGGGCTTGGGTCAGCTTGCTAGCTTATACACATTGTGATGATAGCGTATTTATGTTCATGAGTGTTTCGTAGAAATTGTTTAAAGTGCGTGATGTGTATAAGGCAAATGACTTCGATAAAGGTTTGATATTTTTGTTCGATATATTAAAACGTATGAAACGAATATAATTTATGATCATCACAATAACTTGACCTGTAGTCAAGAGGGCAATAAAAAATTGGCAAATCCCACGTACAGTGAAAATTGATGATTTACGAAGCACAATTGAGAAATGTTGGTATGTCACTTTAAAATCACCACAACGTTACCAGAAGGAGGTAAATGATGCCATTCATGACTTCCGTGTCATAATTATTATGTTTGGATGTTGTTTTGTTTTGTTTCCCTGGGATGATGGCTCATACCCACTCAGGGGGATTGGCCAAGAAAGTGTAGTGCAGTTTTTCTGTTATCATTTTAACTATGTGTAATGAATTGGTATTATAATAAGACTAATGTAAAAAAACATAAAAGGGCAAACGAAAAAAAAATCACGTTGAGCAACTTTGAGATTTGAGGTGTTATAATTACCACTCAGCTGCGTTTACTTCACTCTGCCCTGGGGAATAATAAATTTTTTTGATTGAAGATCACAAAGGTATACGCTTGGTTTCCTGAATATAATCGCAAACGGCACTGAAAGCATCCCTGTGGCAATGTCCTAAAACTGAGGCACCAAAGCTTAGCGCCGTTTCCGCCGTCAATCTAACGCCTATTTTCAGAAATGGCATAACTAGTAACTTTTTTCGAAGTATATCGTAGCGGTGACAATACAAAAAATAATGATCTAGTGATTCCATTTCTCCATAGAATGCGCAGAGGGGTGATGTTGTCTGACCAGCTTTGTGTAGATACAGGTTTAGGGGGGGGGGGGACACGACATCGAAATTTAGTAATTAAGACTTCAAGCTTTCTGGGCTGGCTCCAGTGGGGTTGCCATGGAAACATGAGGTTGTTATAGTCTGTACGTGTAGTTACTTTTTCTATCGTATCAGTGGAGATTGCTGATTTTCGATATCTTATTGCCGTGATATATTCAACATCTGGCAGTATGGACAAAACTGGCCCATCAAGGGCGGCTAGTGCTAAGGAATCGGCCAATTAATTTAATCTTAATCTACAGTGTCCCGGAACCCATAGTAACCTCAGGAGTCTCAACTGCGGGGGTACTAATGTTTTGAATGCGCTTAGAATTCGAGAGTTCTCTGAAGCTGTCAGAGCTGCACAAACTGAAAGAGAATCCGTCATTATGACTGCGTTGTTTTGATTTGATGGAAGTTTTCGAAGAGCTAAAATAATTGCCACGAGCTCCGCTTCAAAAACTGGAGTAAAATCAGGTAGTCTCACTGAAAACGACCAGTCAAGCGAATCAGAGGCAATGCCTACACCTGCCTTTAGATTATTTACGGAAGCATCTGTGGCTATTATATTTTTAGTTTCTGCACGCTCCAAGTAATCTAATAATATGTTATTTAAAAATTTGAGAGATTTTAATTTGGCGTTTTGGGGGAATATATCATCATACTCAATAATAACATGACAATTCGAGTCATTAGTCTCAATTACATTTCTAATATTCACATTTATACATTATAGATTATTTTGTACAAACATTATCTGAGGTGTGTGAAACCGTGACCAATGAGCAAGAAAAAAGGCGTCTGGGTTTGCGATAAAAGCAGATTGAGATCTTCTTGCCGGTAAGCAATAAAATTTTAAAAATGCTTGTATGGTCAAAATTTGAAATCGACAAAGTAGTGTAGGCAGGTGCGCTTCCTGGTACAGTGCGTTGATAGCCACAAATCTAGGGAGTCCCAGACACATTCCCAGTGCTTCTCGCTTCAAGACAACTAGAGGTTTCGTTTTATACGCAGGGACACCCGAGAATAATATGCAGCCGAATTCCATGATGGGGTGCATATAAATCTTGTACAATGTTATCAAGCTGTGCCTCCGTAACCCATATTTCCGGTTACTTAGCTTGTGTAGTAAGCCTGAAGCCCGCTGTGCTTTGGTAGTTATATACTCTATGTGTGGACTACAGTTAAGTTTGTCATTATAAATGATTCTCAAATATTTTATAGAGTCTACTTGCTGGATGGATTCCTGTTTATATAGAGTTGAAAGTGAAATTTGTTCTGCAAGCGGAAACGCCATGAGCGCACTTTTGTTGACATTTAACGATAACAAAATCGACTGCAACCAAGTTTCTAACATGTTAATATATCTTTGTAATTTAGGTTGTAGTGAGTAAATACCACAGTCAGCAGCAAAGAGTGCGATGTCATCAGCATAAATGTAGACAGTAACTTCTTAATCTGCTAGAATTGTGCTCATTAAAGCATTAAATAATACTGGAGAT